TTGCCCGTGGTGGAAAATGTGCAAAATTGGCTTACCCGCGGTTTACCCGTGGTATGCCCGCGGAACAGACGCCGGCGACTGTTCCGCGTCCTTATCGCGGGTGAAGCGCGGCGGTACCGCGGCCTACCACGCTTACACGCGGTACACACGCTAATGCACGTGATAACAACGCGGTACAGACGCGGAACAAACGTGCTATGACCGTGCTCCACCCGCGATTACCCGCTAAAATTTCGCGTCCAATTCCGCGTGTAACCACGTCTTAACCGCGACCGTAGCACGTCCTAGCACGTTCGTTCCGCGTCTGTACCGCGTCTTTACCGCGTGTGTACCACGTGTACCCACGTGTACCGCCCGCGATTACCGGCGGTCTAAATTTTTGGGCAGCCCAAAACTTTTTCGCGCGGCCAACCGCGTGTAACGACGGGTAAAGTACGGCTGTATCGCGTCTTTATCGCGACCTCAAAGCGTCCAACAGCGTCTGCTTCACGGGCAGAAATTTTTGGCCGTGATTCGGCCGCGATACGCCCGTGGAGGGCTGTGTGACCGGGCCTTTAGTATTGACTCGTCCTCCGTAAACTTGAATGTACATTGTCTATCAAATCATGCAAGTAGTTTTCTGATTTATGTGCAAGGCATCTCTGAAATGTATTATACATGTTTACGGTATTATGAAAGACAAGCATGACATACTGTACATGTATTTGTTCATGTTTGCAATCAATTACCATCAGCTCCCTTGTCTTCAATTACAGCTATTTGTTTTAGATGAAAGAATGAAGCAGGACATTAATTTTCATTGAAACTTGAAAGTGAAACTCCTGTTGTTTTGAAGGCATTCAGTAACTCTGGTAATATTATCTAAGAGTAAGAGTGTATGCTATACATGTACATATTCACTGAATTCATGTGCAGTATGTAAAGTCCTATTGCCAGGGATGAGATTCCTCCGCTGATTTCGAGCTTTCAAGACAGGGTAAAAAACAAAAACGACTTAAAATTTCAGATTACGGTATCATTAATTGTACATCTGTGTTGAACAGTAGATTTTGTCTCTTTTAGAAAACTATAAATGCAATTCAAACTTCAGAACAGAAGTTTGGTTACTCTATAGTATTGCAATATGTAAGTAGCTGCGAGTGTCGTGGTCGAGTGGTTTAAGGCGCTTGACTGTAGATGCGAAGGTCGAGGGTTTGAATCCCGACACGGCACTAATATCCTTTGGCAAGATATTTACCTGCACTTGCTACTCTCCACCCAGGTGTTACATTAAATGGGTACCCGGTAGGATGCGAACGTTCATGTGGGGAATGGAAAATGTGCTCACATTGTGTGCGGGTAAGCTTGAATCCGATGACAGGGGTAATAATATATCTGTAAAGCGCTTAGGCACATCCTTGGATCGGTGTATTGAGCGCTTTAAAAAAAAACAGATTATTATTATTATTATGTAACTGAATTGTTTTTAAGTGTAGGACAATAGAATTTGCTGATATACATGTAAATGTACGTCCAGAATTTTATCCAGAATACATTGAGTGTGATAATACATGTACTGTAGATGTGTATGGTAGGTGTTTAGTGTGCTGATTGAAGATGATTCATCTATTCTCTATCACACAAGATCCTCTAGCTGCCATTCTTAAAACACACTCACTTATATTTAGATTTCTGTTGTTACCATGGCAACAATGACTGGGTGCTCACTGACTGAGGCCCCATTTTGTGCAGACAAGGTGCTATCAAGATTGAATGATTTGTTTAGTTACTGTTGGGTTAGATTTTTTCGTTTATTAACTGTAGTTAATCAAAGTTGTTTAGAAAAGTATCCTTGTCAGAAAAAAGGAAAATGAGACAATGGATGTCATGAATATTTTCTTTGGCTTATAACCATTTTTGTCTCGCCTGCGTAGCAAAAAGCGAGACATACATGTACATGTAGGCGCCGCTTTTCCGGTGGCGGTGGCGGCGGCTTCAACATCAAAAACTTAACCTAAGGTTAAGTTTTTGAATTTTGAATATAATTTTGAAAGTATAAGTTCTTATTTAATGAAACTTGGACTAAAGGATTATAAAAGTATCCCCAATCATGTGAGAATTTCAGGTCACAAAGTCAAGGTCAAATGTCATTTCAGGTCAACAAACTTAGACTTTGTTGTGGCTAAGGTTAAGATTTCGAATTTTTATCATAATTTTGAAAGTATACATTCCTCTTCCATGAAACTTGAACATAAGGGTTATCACATATCACTGATCATGTGATTAGTCTTTAGAGTGACAAACTCAAGGTCAAATGTCATTTCAGGTCTGCAAACGTTAATAGACTTTGTTGTGTCATCAACATCAACATTTTGAAATTTTAGCATAATTTCTAAAGTGTTTGTTCAAATTCCATGAACTTGTACCCAAGGGTTATCAAGTATCACAATTTAACTCAAATTGCAGGTCTCAAAGTCAAGGTTAAAGGTCATTTTAGGTCAGTAGATTTGGATTCTGTTTTCACAACTTAATATGAGAATTAATAAATCCATTTTTGTTATTTGTTCAATATTTCATTAAAGTTATCAATCTTGGTCCAAATAATAGTAAATAATTCTTCTAGTGATTCTTAGTCAATATTCACTTCAAAATGCTGATTATATTCAGAGGATTTCATTTTGGGGGGCCTGTTAACGGGCCATCCTGCCCAGATATAATGTCCCAACCTTAATTTTTCATCATATCGAATTGCGTGATGCAGGCGAGACCGCCGAGAGCGTTTCCCTTGTTTCTGTTTAATAACAAAGTTTCATAGTATGTAAAGTACATGATTGTGTATGTGAATAATTGATTTGTCCAGATTTACATGTACCGTATGTTTCTTGAGAATGTGACATGTTAAAGCTTACTTTTAAAAGTATTCAAAAGTATTGAACCAAGGCCCTAACTCAACCAGTCCACCTTTCATTGTTGAGATACATAATTTGTCCCTATTTTCACGAAGTGACGGTAGTGAGGAAAATCGTAACGCAAAGTGTATGCAATTTTCATTCACTACCGTCACTTTGTGAAAACAGTGACGAATTGTATGAAAAACACAAAAATCATCAAATTTACGAGGGGTATGAATAATTTAGTTGTTAACTGTATGTCATCTAGATTGATGAAAGAAAAGTTAGCGGATGTAGCAATAAGGGAGTAATTCTATGAATAAAACATTTGCTTATTGAATCACACAATAGAGCGTGAATACCTTTCCTGATACCTAACTATTCAAGTTTCATTTGTAAACAATTGTTATGAGGTACATGTTTTTGACCGTTGCTGTATTTCATCTCTCTCTCTTGATGAAAAATGAGTTACCGGATGTACAGTAGCAATATATTAAGTAGGAAGTAATTCTATGAATAAAACATTTTGCGTTAATATTGAATCAAACACTAGAGAGTGAACAATTTGTTTCCTGATACCTACACTTTACATGTACAATGTACAGTACATGTATCTATTCAATTGTCATTTTTCAACAAGTTTTATGTGGTATTCGACCATTCGTTATGATGATTGCTGGTTTTCTCTGTTATTTTGCCAAAAGAATTACATGTACATGTAAGAGGCAATTGTATCATGGCTGTACCAAGCATAGAGAAAATGCTTTTGAAGGCTGTTTGTATCCTCTGTAGGCTCTGTTCAGAGTCAAAAGGTTGTGTTGAAATATATACAAATTTATGCCCTATGGCTCCAACGAGCGATATTATCGATATACATGCATTTCCTCTGCCAAATTTTTTTGTAACAGGGTTTTGGGGTAGACAAATGCCCTTTTTTAACTGACCCAGTGCAAAAACAGGAGAAGGAAACAAAATATATAACGTTGGCATTATTGTGAGAGTAAGATGCAAGCAAAAGAAGACTCTATTTTAAAGGGATCCGGTAACTTTGTCTCAGATTCTGAAACAAAATCCTGGATTTAGCTCATGCTGCAATGATACTTATAAACCTTTAGGTCAGTCAGGAACCCCATGACTTATACAAGACGATAAGTAATTTTTTAGCAAATTTGAACCATTCTTATTTACATTATTTGACTGGCCTAAACCAAATCTCATCAAAAACATTCCAAGGTAGCAATTCTTGATTACATTTAGAAACATTTTCTTGAAATTGTGAGAACTCATATCGGCTAATGGTTCCCTGCATGTATGATATTCGGATGGCGTACTTGCTGGAGAGATGAGCCACTATTATAATAGCTAAACTTGATGCTTACAAGGTCAGGTTTGTTAATGATACGATGGGGGTAATTATCAACTGGATTGGTAGTCATTAAGTACTAATGAGTGCTGAAACAGAGGGGGATGACTAGGATCATCAATCTCATGACAAAACCATAAGGTAGCAGCAATTTGCCTGTTGGAGGGAAGAAAGGGAATGATATGTGGGAAGATATGAAGAGGAAATTAAGGAGAGGGGTTACATAATAAGCAAAATGATGCATGTCTTCTGGGAAAATTATAGAAGATATGAAGAGGCATATTATTAAGTTGTGATGGTGTAAAAGTTTGAGAAGCTGAGAAGTGATAGAGAGAAAAAGAGTCATGAGCTTTGTATACAGTGTGTCCCAGAAAAAAACGAAACCAAGAATTATTGATGTTTTAATATAACTTAATCACAATTATAATTAATAAATGACACATATTTGCAATGCTTAGATCCTCTTTCATTTGATGCAATTCATATGATGCATAGTTCACGCATGAGTCATTATGAGCAATTTGACGCACTGTTTAAGGAGAATATTAGATTCAAGAAACAATTTACAGAAGACAATAAAAATCTTATAAAAAGTTTTTTTTACAAACTCAAATACCTGTACTAAGAACTTCATATTATTGTATTAAAAACTGTTATTGAATAAAGTATTGCTACTGACTTATCTCCATGACTTTTGTAAAAATTTCCTTCAGTTCTTAGTTTCCCTGTCTCTTTATCTTTTCCCCTTCTCTCTCTTTTCTTTGTAGGGTGGTTTCGCCCGTTGCTATGAGCTGACACATCTAGACACGCACTATGTCTACGCAGGCAAGATTGTACCTAAGGAGAGAATATCGAAACCATCACAGAGAGAAAAGGTTAGTATTAATCTTTAAATACCTGCATGCACATTGCACAGGTATTCAATAGAGAACCCTGGGGGCCAAGGTGCCCCCCCCCCCACCACCCTCCCCTTCCTGCCTCTTGGGGGAAACAAGGAAGGGGGAGGGGGGAACAATGTGCAGTCCAGTATTTTGAGGGTCTTAGGGGACCGGTGTGATTTCTGCAAAACAAAGGAAAATATTGTGGAAATACGGTACAGTATGTTGCCAACTCTGCTTTACTCTGTCGATCCTGAACCAGGATGTAGATCTTTCCATGAGATGTAAAGCCATAAGTCCTGTAAGTAGCTACAAAACGTGTACATGTTGTACCACAGATTTTAACAAAGGGTAGGATTTCAAAACTTTTACAGAGAGACTGGTTTTAGGGGAGTCCTGTGCAATGTATCAGGTACAATATATGACATTTATCCATATATTTTGTCCATGAATGAAAAATCTTGTGATATGACCGTGACTTATGGTGGTGATAGTAGGAAGCACCATTATTCATTAGTCCTATCAACTGATTCTTCTTTTTTTTGATGAAATGTGTGGTAAAAAATATATACCGGTATGTCGTATGGAACATGCTAAATGGAATGGCCCTTCAAATGAATCCCCAAACCTTCAGCAAGGAAATTGTCTAGAGCGTGGAAAAAAAAATCTTCAAAGTTGCTTCAGACCCTGATGTGCAAGATACAGTTTGTAATTAACAAAAATTTGTCCAGTAATATATATATAACGGATCTGTTGGTTCATATTAATGCCAACGTATTGTACTGTCATAGAGCAAATCTATTATCATTTTCCCCAACTGTATTGAGAAAAACCTTCAAGTCAAAGTTCAATTCAATTCAAGTTTATTTCCACATTTAGTTGAAAACAAAGAAATTCATTCAACATGTGTATATATGTATATCAAAGATTTAAGAGAAACATGTATTACTCGTAATGTTGTGGGAGTAACAAAGACCAACAGACCTACACTGTATCAAGGTAATCTGTATGTGATATGTTGTAATTGTTTTCTATACATGCAGTACTGACAGTTTTTGTTTTAGTCAAATCCAAAGCTAATGATCTATTTCTGTAGACAAAACATTTGATTCATATGAATCTGTATTCTATGAAGAGCTTGACAAAGCTACGGCAATGCTCAAGGATTCAAGAGAACTTGCTATAAATACATCAAAAGCCTGTCATTCAATGAGTTTAGGTATAATTCCTATTAATTGCAGAGAATAGAATCTTTGGTAGGAAATTACCCATTAGTTTGTGGTTTTGTCTTTGATTACGATATATATATTCCTGATAATTTGATGAAACTAGAGAAGGAAATATATAGGAGGCAAGATTAGTAGGCCTTGCCGTAATGTCCATTTGCACTTTTGAACTATCATGAACAATCATGAAATCTTATTTCTTTATTGGGTGGACAGTTTAAGTGCACTACATGTATGTATCTGCTGCAAGCTGAGAAAGCACACTGCTTGTTTACCCACATGCATACAATAATTATCCTGTTTTGAGGAATGTGCATATGTTTATTCGTTTACATATCCACATGCATGTACATTTCCTATTATTACAAAAGTTATTATAAAAGTATTTGAGAACATCTGCACATTTTTATGAATTATCTCTCATTTCCTTTCAGGTTTTCTCTTACATTCATTCTGTTACACGTAATTAATGTTGTTTTTTCAAGATACATAAAGTACAAATGTACATGTATATACATGTATGTGACCTGCTATGGCAAAACCCAACACTTCATGGTAAAAATAAAAATTGAGTTCTTGGTATCATTGGAAAGAGTAAAGTATGACCTTTAAGATGATACCTCATTTAAAAAAATTGATTGAAATTTGACAAAGTTATTGTGATTTTTGTGATTTCAATCACCGGAAGTTGATTATGAGATATTGAGGTTTAAAGTTAAGAATTTGGTTCAATTTTCACACAAAAAACATGCATACATTCACTTCATAGCAACGGCATCAACCAAACAAGCTAAAGTCTTGTTATTTTACAGGCATACTAGACACATACCCAACTTACATTTCTGTTAAAACCATTAGATTTGGAAAAATATTAATAAAGTTATGATAATTTTTAAAAACAATAGAAAACAAAAGAATTTCAAAGTTTTTGTTATACTAGGCAAAGTTGATGGGAAAACGATTCCACTGTTTATTATGTTTCATCAGTACAGAATTTGTTCTTGTACACAAAATAGTAGCAGGTAACATCAATGTTGCAATAATAAAATGTAATAGTGCATTTTCTTAAAATTTATGCTTAATAATAGGCCTATTACAAAACCAGATGTAATAAAAATGATTTAAAAAAATATATTAAAAATAAGATTGCAATAAAGTGAAATAACGAATTGCGTTGAACTTGAAACCCGTCAGAATCTATTTTTCAAATGATAATTACTGGAACAAATAAAGCGAGTTCAAAATGATTGATATTTTGTCATATTTAATAAAGGCTATGATATAAAGCATTAGTCTTAATCAAGACTATTTGAGAAAAAAAAAGATATCGTGTAAGTCACTCGACAACAGATAACCTATAATACATGTATTGTAAAAATATCCTGGTTCATTTAGGAATGTACAATAAAGTAACAGTTGAGACCATTTGACAGAGCTGTTGTCTTCTTGAGATAGAGATTAATAATGCAAAAATATTAATTTCAGTCAATCAGTATCAGATATAAAATATATTCTTTCATTATCAAAGTAAAGAAAAAACAATAACGAATCCCATAACAAATGCAATCTGACTAGTGACTACACTAATCATAAACTATTATGCATTAGTGCCCAAGAATTAATGATGAACAGTTTCGAATCTCTTGAGTTATCTTGTTTCATACAAAATTCACAGCCGAAGAGATCAATAGTATGTACATGTACATAGGATAAGACATGCCAAAGATGTGGCACTTTCTTTGTGTACGGAAATACGAAGGGCCAGGTTGTTGGGGGTCAACTGGATAATGCACTTGCTGTGCAAAGTCGAATCTGTAATGAAAAACTACAGGCTTGGAGTTCGCAGTCTTCTTCCCTAGCTTCTTGATGGAGAGCTCTATCGCGACTGCCTGTAAGGCTTGACAGGCTGTCCTGTAGAAGATGCTCCTCCTGCCTCCTGAGTGCCTCTGTCTTCTGTTCTTTAGGAACATTGACCTGCAGACATGAGGGAAAAAGCAAAACGAAACAAAAATCTCCTGATTAGTCAAATTTTCGCATCTACTATTTTTCTTTACAAAGTAAATATTTTTTGTTACACTACAATAGTAGATCATTCTCAAATGGAAAACACCAGCTCACAATAAAGTAAAAGTTGGTTGACTTTTTAGAGATATGAGTGATGAGGTATTGTGAATGGATATTTGAAAGCGTGTTCACTCGTCACACAACATAACTCTTATTTTTTATTTAGCTACGAGGAAGCAAGGTTGCACTGACAATAAAATACATGAAAGAAAGTATTCCCTTTTCGTTATGTTTATTGGGTACTGATGAGGCTGGCCGTACACTTGCAAAGTGTAGCCAAGCACAAGCCGAAGAATCAGAATGAAAATGCATAAATGAGAAAAAGATATTGCACGTAGTTACATTATAATGATCAAAGATAAGAATGAACATGAATAAATGCGATGTACATAATGAATGAAAGCTTACGACAGAATAGAAAGGGCGTCGAAAGTCCAATGAAGAAGAAGAGAGTTGAGAACGAAGGAAGGGGCTCACGCGATGATGTGCGGAGGCTTGAAGGCGGAGATGCAACTTCGTTGTCGTGGCTGAAGAGCCGTGAAGAATCTCGACGCTGACGTCCGTGATGAAGTTAGTGAAGAAGCTCTCAGGCGAGAAGAGAAGAGACGAGATGTGGCGCTCGACGACGGAACAGTGGGTCGTTCGATGTCGGAGGCGAATTAAGAGTAGAAACGTAGACATGCAAAGCCGGCACTGGTGCTGAGTAGTAATAGTTGCTCGTTTGATGCGCCGGACTTTGATGAAGAAATGTTTAGATGAGCTGCGGTGAAATGATGAGCTCGTGAGTGGAAAGAGCTACCGGAACGAAGACACTGGCAGCTCCCAGCGGAGAGTCAGGCGCCATGTCGGTGCTGACTATAACGTTCCACTGGGAGACTGCAGCCCGATGAACACGGCAGGGAAAGAGTAGACGTGCCGTAGAAGAAACGACAGGCACAGAAGAATAAAGCCTGGAGAGGAAATTATGGAGACGTCTTGACTCGACCAAGGTGGAAGCGGGAGTGGAGAAAAACCTCGTGGAGCTGAAAATACGCGGGGTGAACAGTGCGGAACCACGATGCGCGATTGGAAGGAAAAACACACGTGGTCCGAATAATGAATATAAATAAGTACCGTGATGGAAAAATACTGGAGACATGAACGTACGGTAAAAGTAGGGCGAATGTAAGTAGGGCGAATGTAAGAGCCGCTACATTACTCCCCTGCCAGAATCGAAGCTGTGTATGCAATACACAGATAAAAGGCGATAATATATAAATGAGCAAAGTACAAAATGTCACAAGAATCAATGGCTGACAAAAAATGTAAAAGTGCATGTATTGTATAGTGTATGCAGCAATTTACAGCAGCCTAAGAAATGTACAAGCATGGCATGTTGAAAGAATGTAATACAACAAGCATGCACGGCTGTTTAGTTGCCATAAATAGAACAGTGAGTATTGACATGGTATGCGTCGAATAAACGTGTATAAATGCAAGAGCATAAAAAACATTCAATACATAATCCAGAATGAAGACATTTTATAAAACATTGCTAAGTCCAAAAAGTCTGGGAATAATAAATCCGTACAACCAAGCTTCAAAGTAAACGAGGGGTCACCACTTTAGAGATATTGGTGTGTGTACAACATCATGACATAAAATGGTAAATGGACATTATTGAATGAAATGTAATGACATAATAAAAAGGGCGTCGAAAGTCCAATGAAGAAGAAGAGAGTTGAGAACGAAGGAAGGGGCTCACGCGATGATGTGCGGAGGCTTGAAGGCGGAGATGCAACTTCGTTGTCGTGGCTGAAGAGCCGTGAAGAATCTCGACGCTGACGTCCGTGATGAAGTTAGTGAAGAAGCTCTCAGGCGAGAAGAGAAGAGACGAGATGTGGCGCTCGACGACGGAACAGTGGGTCGTTCGATGTCGGAGGCGAATTAAGAGTAGAAACGTAGACATGCAAAGCCGGCACTGGTGCTGAGTAGTAATAGTTGCTCGTTTGATGCGCCGGACTTTGATGAAGAAATGTTTAGATGAGCTGCGGTGAAATGATGAGCTCGTGAGTGGAAAGAGCTACCGGAACGAAGACACTGGCAGCTCCCAGCGGAGAGTCAGGCGCCATGTCGGTGCTGACTATAACGTTCCACTGGGAGACTGCAGCCCGATGAACACGGCAGGGAAAGAGTAGACGTGCCGTAGAAGAAACGACAGGCACAGAAGAATAAAGCCTGGAGAGGAAATTATGGAGACGTCTTGACTCGACCAAGGTGGAAGCGGGAGTGGAGAAAAACCTTGTGGAGCTGAAAATACGCGGGGTGAACAGTGCGGAACCACGATGCGCGATTGGAAGGAAAAACACACGTGGTCCGAATAATGAATATAAATAAGTACCGTGATGGAAAAATACTGGAGACATGAACGTACGGTAAAAGTAGGGCGAATGTAAGTAGGGCGAATGTAAGAGCCGCTACAACTTGGAAGAAGAAAAGAGTAAATGTATTGTAGCAAATTTCATTTCATTAAAACACTTGAAATTTGGACAGAGCTTTGCAACGTTTTCCTAAGGATCTCAATTATAATATTTATTATGCTTGGTACAGTTTAGTGGTGAAGTATTTTTTTTAAAGCATACGTTAGGGTCTATTGATTAATGCTGCAAAATAGGAGAAAATATAATTAGCTAAGAATAAATGTAAGTATATTTTGCATTAAACTGCAGCTTGTACATAAACATCCAGTCCTTAGACATTATTATAAAGAAATACAAGTAAATAGTGACAGATCCAATTATACCTTATGGACTCTTGTTCGGCTACAGAGAATTGTTTGATACAGCGTCTTCGATTGAAGATACGGCAGTTGCATTTATTCACGCGGTCCTTCAGCGGTTCCAGATTAAGATCTACATGTATTTGTTGGGCCAGATTTGTAGCTGCTGCCGCCTCCTCCTCGTCATCAATGACAGGACCCGGTCCCAGTATGACGCTTTCATTGTCACTTGACAAATCCATAGGCTCCTCTGCATGCATCTGCCTCATCGACCCAATCGCTTTCATCGCCGCTTTCATCGCCGCTTTCACATGGCTCTGCTGGTCATGGACCTGCCTCCTCGAACTCATCAGACTCTGTTAAGTATAATTATAAAATAGAGATTCAAAAACTAATATCAACAAGTAGTCTAGACTCCGCAGAGATTTTTGTATAGGTATGAGATGCTTCATAAATCATAATCTAATTTAATAATAAATTTTAATTTAAATAATAGTGCACTTAAAATGTCTAATCTAGCTTTTGTTGCTCGAACATTTTGGCGAAACAAGTCTTTAATAAATAATATGGGCGTAGACCTAACTAAGTAACTTGAATACCTTTTTAATAATGATAATATTAATAAACCTACCAGAATCAGAGTCGGAGCTAGGAGACGAAGGAGTTCCTCTCTCGCCCGCGGCCGGGGGCTCGGCCCGGTCGGGTTCGCGAAGTAGTCAGCCAGGTGTTCGGTCAAGCCATGCACGGCATACCGCACGCCGATGCATCATTCAACAAAGAAGCGACGGTTTTATCCGTTAAATTCCTCTTTTTCCTCGACATTGTTCTAGCCACTCGATGAATACACGTATTTTACTTGATATATGAAACTCTAGCTCATTAAAAACAAACTTCTGAACAAGTTTTCGAAGAAAAAAGCTGGTGTTTCGATGCGAGAATTTGACCGCTGAGCAATCACAACAACAAGGCAAATGACGTCATGTGCGAATATTGGCGAATCAAGTGTCTGGATTTGGATCACGTGGCTGGCAACAGGCATTTGTTTACGGCCTGCTTGACAGCTCATCGAAATGATGTCATCTTTCATGGCATTTTTCATTGGGCAATTTTATTTAGGACCGCCCAATATAACCATATTTGGAATAACCGATCCTTACTCGTTATTTTCGTACCAAATACGTCAGGGATCGACTCAAACGTGGTCAACTGAGAGGGAAAACAACAAGCGATGAATCGCGAACTTTCCCTTCTTTTGACCGCATTGTTTCAACTAATTTCACTGGACAATGGAGCACATGATTAGATACAAAATATAATTAAAAATACTTCTAGATCGTTTTTTGAGTTCATTTTTTCTCTAAATCAATTTATAAAAAATAGACTTTCTGATCATGCAAAAATCTCAGTTGATCCCTAAATTCGAAATTTCATGTTCAAACGGGCCTACAGCACAATGGGATTTGCCGAGAAGCGTCGGGTTTTGCCGTAGCGGGTCACATATGGATTCAAAACATTATTTTACTACTTTAGCAATAACCTTTATACAATAAATAGTGTGTTGAAAAAGATCAATTTTCTGGAATGAATTAATTTTGGTTTCCCTTGAATTTTGCATTGGTCATTTAACAGTGTATATGTAACCTATAACATGTCCATAATAACCACCATGTTTTGTTTCCCTTAACTTAAGACGTCCTTTCTATACATGTTTGACGATAAATGGACTTTTACAAAATATGTGGAATAATATGAACATCACACCAAATTTACTTTCTGCAAATCATTTGTTGACGTAGAAACTTCTGAACATGGCTTTAATCACTTTAATTGTCTTTAGGACATGGATTCATTAGTGACAGTTGAGGGATAGACTCATTAAACACATGTGCATGTCGTGTGCAGTATCTGTACTGATTCTTATTGTGCAGAAACCGATTTGCCATATGTAGTTTGACCTTTCTAATGTCATATTAATCCAGCTTGCCAAATCAATAATAACTCCGGATGTCAATTTCCTTTCTATGGTTTGGCAACACAAAATCTGAATTTGTAGAATTATATAACCACAACAAAGCTTCTGATAATGATCATTTGAAACCTAGAATACTTGTAGTTCATATGCTGCTCGTATAATGAGTCATTTTGAAAGGCTTTAGCTTTGGGCATTGATAGAGAAATATCACCCATTGGCTATAAAAAGTAATGAGGTTAGAGCAATTATAATCTTGTTTTTTTTCCTGGAACAACGTGAATGGTTATTGACATTGCCAAGATTACCATTTCCTGAGAGAAACAATTTGAAAATATAAGTTCCTTTCTTTAAATTTACAGCATATCTGTATACTTTGAAATACTAATAAAATTAGTGATTATTGAAAAAAAAACAATCTTGATTTTTTAGGAGACATATATATATATATATATATATATGCAATTATGCAGCCTACACCTAGAAACATATTTACTAAACCAATTTAAGACCGACATTCTGAATGAATCAGATTTCATTCATAAAACTGGCAACAAAGTTTATATTTTCTTCTTCTTTATTGTGTGTTTTTTTATTAGGCAGAGAGAGAGAAAAGATGTCCATGAACAACTGAGGCATCCTAACATTGTGGGCTTCCACAACACTTCCAAATGTGCTGAAAACACCTGTTAATTGGCAACACTGAATAACAATTTTACTCTAAACACTTTGTTTTTAGTATTTCATTTTTATTAGATGGAGAGAGAAATAGCAGTCTGTGCACAGCTGTGGCATCCAAACATTGTTGGTTTCATAAATACTTCCAAGATGAAAAAAGAAAAATCACTCCTCAATTTGGCAACACTGATATCTAATTTATCAATATTATTCTTATTTTTTATTAGATGGAGACAGAAATAGCAGTCCAGGCACAGCTGAGGCATCAAAACAATGTGAGCTTCCATACACACTTCTAATATGCTGACAGACTCAAATTGGCAACTCTGATATGTGATTTTACACTAAATATTATCTTCTTTTTTTATTAGATGGAGAGAGAAATAGCAGTCCATGCACAGCTTAGGCATCCACACATTGTGGGCTTCCATAAACACTTCCAAGATGCTGAAAACATCTATATCCTTCTAGAACTATGCAGACATAAGGTGAGTCTAGTCATTTAAAACTACTTAAAGATGAAATTGAGTTCTGGTCATGCGATTGCATTGTGAAAGAAACGGTGTGGAATCGACCAGAAAAGGTTCATCATCTAGCATATAAGAATTTGTGTGTATTGCAAGGTTCTGGAATCATCAAAATGATAAGAAATTTGGCCAAGTCTTGGTAAAGTTAAAAACACTGTACACAGAAAGATGCATATGGGACTACACGAAAACGTGGCGTAAAAATCCTACCCTGAATTTTTATGATGTTACATGACATTTTTAGAATATGAAGGCATTTGAAGAGCCATGCTTTTCAGGGATCATGTCTTATCTGATGTTCTTCCACACTTGCATAATAAGAATGATAACGCTCACAAATTATTTTTCACCTCTTCCCAGAACTCAACCTTCTCTTTAAACTAAAGAAAAACAATGGGAAAACAAAATAGAAAAATTATTTATTTATAAAAAAACCTTGTCTTTTTCAAGCCAAATTACACCAACAAGAGCTTTAGCAAATAATTGTCATTTTTTCAAAGAAAAGGTTGGAGAACCCCTGACCTAGTATGTACTTGTACTGTACAAGCTCTCATTACTTTGAAATTTTAGGGCCGTACTGAACTGAAGTGATTAATGTAGAGTTTAATTTCCCACTTCCCTAAAACTGATAACCTTTCAAGCCAACTTGCCAGTATTCGTCTAACACTATACGATATCTCAGAAGACTAATCATATCTCACTTACTATTTTGGCTTACAATCAAGTTTTATTATTCAACAATGTAGCTACACTTTATGTAGATCCTGTCTTACGTGTCACGGACCAAGTCAGTTGCAATTCGATACACTCGTGTAGGGTTAATCACTACTGAACTGTGTTCCTTAAATAGGCACCGCGATGATGTCACATGAGAGGTTCTCCTCAAGTTTCTCTATTTATTTTTCATCAGACTAAACTACGTTCTATGATTACAAAGCACAGTTCTCCTGTATTTCATTTTTAAGTTAGGCTTCCTTGATAAAGCTGTATGATCCTTCATTGGTTGAATTGGCGTTTGTTCATTGAAGGGGCACTGGCATAATTGGGGGGGGGGGAGGGGCAATAGTTTTACTCTGCATAAAATGCAAATTATTAAATTGTAGGAGAGATCCACAGGCCAGTATCTGTTCTAGGAATAGGATTAATATTCCCTCCTTAAATATAAATTTTGGCGTTAAACTTCAATGACGGTTAAATGTGTTAATTAACACTGACACCAACGTCTGACATAAATGGCAAGCCTAAAATACATTTATTACAACCGATTCTATCATAAATTTACATTTATTACAACTGGTTCTATCATAAATTTGCTTTAATTTTCCTTTACTCTCTTAAAAGGTTGTTGAATCAAATATTGGATTCCAAGTACGGTAGGCCTACATTTTGGAGGAAGTTATACTGAAAACTTCCTGAACTTTTGTTATTTCGACACTTTCCGTTAATATGTATGTACCGGTAGGCCTTTAACAAGAAAGTTATATATATTTATACCACTTTTTTGTCAACAGACGATATGATATGAAGGTGATAAAGGTTCCTGAAAGTGTATGAACTTTCAGGAAAACAGTGAATTTTAATCTACATGTGTTTTCCAACCTTGAATGGAGATTAGTCTTTAATAGAAAAATGGGAAGTACAAATGTACTTGTCGTAGCATACAATGACAGTGCATCCCATAATAAATGAGTTTTGATTTTACTGTATTTCCATAAATTTTGTCAAATCATACAGTTTACTGCAGATAAAATGGCCTTTTAAGGACTATGCAGATATTTCCTGATCATTTTGACTCCTATGTGCACCATCACTGTACTTTTTTTGTTGGGGGGGGGGGGGGGGTCATTGTTGTAAACATAAAGATACAGGTGATTTTTGGTTCCTGAATTATATCAAATTTCAGGAGAAGGGCAGAAAACAATCCATGATTCAGCCTTGACTAGATATCTGTTTTAGTTCGAAAGTGAGATGTATAAAAAAAAAAATGACATGCGATCAATCAGTAGTTCTCAGGCACAAATCCCTTTTAAGTCGTTATACATTTGTATGTGTATCAACAGAGTGTCTGAACTGCAAGGCTATACAGACCTTACATTGTACTGCACTCCATAGGCCCTGTACTATAGCTGCTCCTGATATAGCCAGAGACTGACAGGATTAGGCTAGGCTCTAGACTTTATGGAATTGTGTTTTAGTGTCAATTTAAAGTCTGTGCCTGCAGACTATGTGATCAGTACTGTTTATCAATACTTTTACTACATCATGCCAACATTTAGCTATTTCCATTTGGCAAAGGGCAACTGCTGCTGTGAAACCTAATGCACCTAAATGTTTTAATTCCTTATTTGATAATATCCTCTTCCTCATACTTTAGTGACAAAATAAATATTTGGATATTGAATGTAATTAATGCTTCCAAAGCCACAACATTACTGAATTATGCAAACAAAATATATTGGATGTCCTACATTTGATTTCAAGTTTAAAACAAACACACCTCACCGGTAAATAGTTTCAGGAAAAGTTTGTCAACTGAATACTTGTATATGTAGTAGTTCACCATCCCTAGAAAGTGATACAAAACCATAGTTTTCCAAACACAATTTAGACTTGAACATGAATGTTTTGTTTTTAGATAGTAAGTTCTATTTCTGTCTATTCATGTTGAATGCATGTAATATCTTTCATTTTTATGAATGGTCTCTATGAACAGTTGGTGAGTGTAGATACAATATATTTCCACCATTGCATTAATTGCCACCCTTTCCAAAACAATGTACATTCTATGATAATTAAATCAACAACAGCAACAACAATATACACGTAAATGATGTGTTTCAATTTGTCCTTGACAACACAAATTAATTCAAAGCATTTACCAACTTTTATTGTGTAGATACAATATATTTCCACCCACATTACAGTTATGCCACCTTTTCCAATATAATATGCATTGTATGATTTAAAACAACAACATCATAAATCAAGTGTTTCCATTTATCGTTGACAAAACAAATGAATTCAAAGTATTTACTAATTTTTGTTTGTATTCACCCTGGTGTATATACATGTAAATTGTTATTTGTAACTATTTAAATAAACTCCCCCATTTTATGTTACTCCATATGCCAAAATTAGGATATAATGATGATGAATTGTTTCTCTTTATATCCATGCTTTCAACTGATGAATTCTTTCTTTTCTTCCTTTGTACAGCCCCTCTTTTGCATGCTAAAGTTGCAGATAGAATTATAGATTTTGCTCTTTTTAATCAATCACACAGATGAACTAGGTTGCTTCTGTTCTTTCACTCTCTCCTTTTTGGTATGATGGCAAATGATTTTGTATCTGTAGGATATCTGTAGGATAGTATGATACATTTCTCTTTCTTCTTCTCTCAGTCTTTCTATCTTTTATCCTTTCCTCGTTCAGTCTCTATTTCACAGTCTGAGTAAGATATTCTATAGCATTGCCTCTCTTCTTCTTTCAATTTCTCCCTCATTGTTTTGAAAGATGAAATAATGATATTTTTTTTTCCTCGTACATGTAGGATATAGAGTACCGAAGTGTTAACGTCATATTGGCTCATCGTCTCGGTTACTGGTTCCAAGCAACAGAGCCTGTGCATGAGGTTCATCGCGCCATCATTCAAGCAACGGACTGGAGCAGAGCAAATTCAATGTTTGGCGCTGGTGTGATCACCACGCCATTGTTTAGCACAAAACTGTTTGGAACCAGGTACCGTGGCAACTTGGCTAATATGACGTCACACTTCGGTGCTCTATTATGATACATTTATCTTTCTTCTTTCCTCCAGCTCTCCTTCATTGCCTTTTCTTTGTTCTTCCCTCGTTCAGTCTCTCCTTCACATGCTTAAGCTGAGGAAGCACCTGACGGAGCCTGAGGTGCGCTACTTCATGCTACAGATAATAGAAGGCGTACGGTATCTTCACAGTCACTGCGTCATCCATAGAGATCTCAAGCTTGGCAACATGTTCCTTACAGATACAATGGGCGTTAAGATCGGGGACTTTGGGTTGGCCGCTAAACTCGAGTTTGAGGGAGATAGAAAAAGGTTTGTATTTAACAGTGACCTTTGTTGTCATAGTACTGAATAATTTTTACATTTTGTGCCACAGTTAGTTCTGAAAATGCCTTGGCATGTGCAATTCAGCCACTGGCTGCAAGAAGACACGTTTGAATAAAAACTTTATTAAATTGAAAAAGTGCATGTTAAAGGTAAAGTTGGGTATTGGTCATGTGATGATTATTTTAGTAGTTGAGTGGTTTTAAGCACTTGACTTGAAATGCAAAGGTTGTGGGTTCTATCCCCAACACAGCACTAATGTCCTTTGGCAAGGCATTAATCTACATTTGCCACCTCATACCCAGGAGAGAAATGGGGACCTGGGGGGTATTTCATAAAGCTGTGCTTAAAGTTATGCATGACTTTATGAAACTTTGGGTATCCCATTTGGCTCTTCATATTGAAATCATTTGTAAAGTCATTTGTAAATTTACGCACAGCTCTATGACAAAAACCCTGGTAGGATGATGAAAGCCTTTGTGATAGAAAGTGCCATATGCCTTCACAGTGACCATATAGTAGGAATACTCCTGGGAGTGGAGATTATGCACACTATGTCTGGAATGAATCTGATTATTTGCACGCAATTAACCCGACATTGTGTACATATGGGGGGGGGGGGCATTTTTTCCCAAAAGTTTTTTGTAACCTGACAACCTGACACACCCTAACCTTTCATGAATATAGATTTTCACAAAAGGTTGTGTAACCTGACAACCTGGCCCGAATGCAAAGGAGTGATGAAACAAAGTAAGCTCAGTAGTGCCAGCCAGTTACAAATAACCAGAGATAAAAATACATGGATTGGCCATGTATAATGGCCAATGTCTAGAATAAATAAGGCACCTAGCAAGCAAGCAAATCTCTGACTCAGTCATTATTAAAAGTCAAGGTAATGAACTATATTAGAACTCGGGATGGGAGCAACGTTTCAAAAAGAGAGGGGTATTTAAGTAACAGAGTTTGGTTTACCTTCATTCTTTTTCATCTTATGATTTAGATATAGACCTGTAAAATGAAGAATTCTAAAGCTGCAAACAAACTGCATACAAAGACCACTCAAAAGCCTTCGTAGATTCATGAGTAGTGTAGAAAAATATCCTTGAATACACAAGTGATCAACAATGAATTTTTTTTTTACCCCAAAGTGGAAAGATACTGCCAGTTTCAAAGTTTATGAAAAGACCACTCAGAGAAAGAGAGAGAAACATAGAGAGAACGAGAAAGAGAGAGAGAGAGGGGGGGAGAGAGAGGGGGGAGAGAGAGAGGGGGGAAGAGAGAGAGAGATTGAGAGGGGAGAGATATTGAGAGGGGAGAGATAGAGTTAGAGAGAGAGAGAGAGAGAGAGGGGGGGGTGGGAGAGGGAGGGAGAGAGAGAAGAGATTTTTAGAGGGTGGGGGGGGGGGGAGGGTAAGGGGAGGAAAACTTTTCAGGCAGTGTGAGCATGAGGACGTGATGTAGGAAATTCACACTTTCAAGCGTTGTACCATGTGGCTGGCTGTAGGTGCTGATGGTATTAGCAACAGAGGCATTGAGACAACTTTAAATAGCAGGTGACATACTGCTGTCCCATTGTATGCTTCTCACATATCACTGATAATAATGATTACACTTACAGTCTAGCCTATACATGTAGGTCTTATAATACTGTGGACAGGTTTTGGATTTTCATGTTGCTAACACATTTATAATGCTCATTAGCTTTCAAAACCATTTTCTTGGATCCAATTATTCATTTCTACACACTATATGTATGTAGATCAACTACATTAGTTATGATAGTAATTACCGTATTGTTATTATTGATGTATGTACATGTATGTGATCAACCATTTCGGATAAACAATGAATAAAATGCTGAATGAATTACTGTTTTGTGGAACTTGTACCCGCAGGTGAAAATGCTTTGGATTAGGATAAACTCTGAATGTACATTAACACTGAGTTAAACATGGTTTGTGGAGCTTGTGCTAGTCACAGGTTAAAGGGATCCGGTAACTTTGTCTTAGATCCTTTAGAAATAATCCTTGATTTAGCTCATGCTGCAATGATAATTATAAACCTTTATGTCAGTCAGGAACTTCATGACTTTTACAAGCCGATCGCCTGTCTGATTATCAAGATATTGATGATTGGAATACAAATTTTGAAAACACTATAGTCTATTGGAGAAAACGAGTATGGTAAAACCGGTCACTTAAAGATTTTTATTTTTTTGAGGCACTTCTTGATCATTTTGAAGCGCGATTTTTTTTAGGGCTTCAATATTACACCATATCGCAGACACTGGTAGCATGCACATTGTAGGACCATGTATCTCAGATTTAACATTGTTATACGATCCCTTTAAAGCGTGATTGTTTTCAGTGCTAATAAGCAAACTATATGACGATGTATAAGCTTTAGTGTTTAGGAACACAAAACGTTGACTAAAACACTGAACGAGGCTATTTTGGGAAACTTGGACAAGCCAGTGTAAACGGAAGCCTGTAATGAGTCAGAGTCATGGGCTAGGTGTAAAGGTAATACCGCAGACTACCTTCAGTGATTTAAAACAAGCTGCATGATTAGGTTGAAGAAAAACGTGGATTAAAACACTGGATGAGACTGTTTTCTGGATCTTGCACAATCCAGTGTAAACGGAAGCTAGCGATGAGTCACACCCATGGGCTATAGAGGCTAGCCCCGACTGCGCTCGCTCACTCGATTGCTTTGAAACAAACTATTTGTGATGGCCTTTATCAGTGCTTCCTTCCCTCGTCGTCTGAGCCAAATATAGAGCCCCGTAAACGCTGATGATGATCAAGAACGATGGAAAATGCCAAGGAACACGATACTTAGTATGAATCATGAGATTGTGTATGGGTAATGTCCTGCATCATTACCAGGGGGGTGTTTCACAAAGACTAAGATCGACCTTAAGTTGGACTTAACTATGGCAGGCCGTTCATGCCATTTTTTGCTCTCACTATTTGCTGGCATTGGTCTCTCAAGGGACGTACAAATCATAGTCACAAATCTACAGAATTTACATTTTTTGATAATTCATTATTGAAGGAAAAAATATTATCTGAAGATCATAATTAATAGAACAATGGTGAGAGCAACAAGTGGCATGAATGGCCTGCCATACTTTAGGTCCAACTTAAGTCCATCTTAGTATTTGTGCTAAGGTGCATCACTTCCCACCTTGTTTCCTTTTTAAAAGGATCGTTTTACAATGTTAAATCTGAGATGCACGGCCCTACGTGTTATCAGTGTCTGTGATATGAATAATGAAGCTCTAAAAAAATTGCGCTCCAAAATGATCAAGAAGTGCCTCAAAAAGTAAAATCCTTTGAGTGACCGGTTTTACCATACCGTACTCGTTTTTCCCCAATAGACTGTAGTGTTATGAAAACCATTTGTCAAATGCAAAATTTGATTTTGATTTTGATTTTCAATCATAAATATCTTGATAATCAGACAGGCGATCGGCTTGTAAAAGTCATGGGGTTCCTGACTGACCTAAAGGTTTATAATTATGATTGCAGCATGAGCTAAATCAAGGATCTTTTTAAAGGATATTAGACAAAGTTACCGGATCCCTTTAAGCAATCAGGAATCGGTCTATTACAGCATTTACGAATTTACCATTAGCGGAAGATTGTGTCTTTGGCTATACATTTATGAACAAAATTAGAAAATGTCAAAGATGAATATTCTTCATTTTATGATTGTCCCTTCTCAATTTGTTTAATTCCATTTTCCTTGTTATTTTTTAAGCTACCATCACTTTATTTTGTCAAGTATTATTACTTTCATTTCCAATTGAAAATCAATTCACTCAAACTCATTTTACTGGACAAATCTGTCCTTGATAAATGTACCATACCGGTATGTAGTAATACAGTGTATACGTTTGCTAAAGTATAAATTACCAGAAATGAAATTACTACTTAAAATTGTTTCAAAATTTACATCGCTGCATTATACATATACACAAGACAGAGACAGAGACAGAGACAGATTTGTCTAGAGTGCTGACCCATGTTACCCTCCTATTAGCTTTGAGCTTTCAAATCTAATTCAAAGAAAAATCAAAAACTATCTATTTACTCTTGAAAGAACTAAATGCATAAGTGCAAAGAAAAACATTTTCCACTATATCAATCGTCTTTGCAAAACACTATATTACTTTTTATAAAGGTTATTGATGTCGATAACAATGCTAATCCTGTCCAAATTGGAGAAAGATAAGGTATTGTGCAAGCCAAGTAATATTTTTTCCTGTCTAATGAGCATTTCCTGGTGCTGGCGAAGGGTTATCATAAATTGGAAAGAAAGTTTGAAAACAGAATGACTTGTGACCTGGTTTGTTGAGTAGCAGTTTTGTAACATTACATGTACGTCATCAAGGTAAATAATTTTTATAAAGGGCTGAGAAAACCCAGTTTTACCCTTCAAGTTGGCAAACTCACTCATATTTTGTCTTATTTTATTTTCAACCTCTGCCAGTATGTTTAAGAACAAATGGAGATTGTTTTAATTCAGTTTAATATTAGTTTCCTTTGTATTTAATGTAGCATCCCCATTAAAAACATTACCTTTCAGTCTATCTGTCCCTATTATGTTTCTTTGGAGATCACTCTTTTGATCTATTTCATAATGTTCTATTCTTCCCCTCTCTGTTTCTTTCTTTGTAAAATCATCTATTGAGAGACAGAAGGTTGAGTACAGAGATCATGATCAGTACACCTGAAGTTGTATACACTTTTTAGCTTCTCTCTCTCTCTCTCCCTCCCTATCTCTATGTCTCCATCTCTCTCTCTCTCTCTCTCTCTCTCTCTCTCTTTCTCCCTTTCTCCCTCTCTCTTGCTCTCTCTCTCTCTCTCTCACTCACTCTCCACCCCTCCTCTCTCTCTCCCTTTCTCCCTTTCTCTCATCTCTCTATGTCGTCATGTTAATTAAAGATAAACTTTAGTACTGGTAATGCGATTGCATTGTGAAAGAAAAGGTGTGGAAAGGATCAGAAACAGTTGATCATGTAGCATGTAAGTATTGGTGTGCACTGCAAGGTTCTGGAGTCATCAAAATCATAATAAATTTGACCGAGTCTTGGTAAAGTAACAAGCACTCACATAGAAAGCTATATATTGGACAACACACATGGTGTCGGGGCTAGTACTACCTTGATTTCCTTGTCTTTCTATGCTCATTACTCAGCCAGTATACATTTTCTTCCAAAATTGTTTGGCACATGTCATTTATTTGTAATCTTGAACATTCAGTGTAAGTTTCGTTTGATTCTGTGAGAATTATTATTTTTTTTTTACCAGTACTGGAGTTTATCTTTAAGTAGAGAATTATATTAGAGATCATTAATATCCTTTCTCGTTTTTATTCTCTCTACAGAACAATGTGTGGCACACCAAACTACATCGCCCCAGAGGTGCTGGGCAAGATAGGACACAGCTTTGAAGCAGACGTCTGGGCCTTGGGCTGTATAATGTGAGTATTCAACCGTCCCTCAGATAGGATGTTAAATATAGGCCCCGTGTACAGGAGAGTCTCAACCTTTGCAGGTTAAGAACCCTCTGCACTATTTGTATAAGAGGGTGCCGGGGGGGGGGGGGAACTTGGTGTAGTGGTCCACCTGCACACCCCTATCAGTTATACCGGGAGAAGAAACCTGAGGGTTACAGTTATTCAGTTTTGCTTTTCCCCGACCAGGCACAGGTGATGCTAAAGATATAATAATAATATAGACATATCCACAGTAGATATTATTAGCAAGGAATGGTTCAATCAAATTGCACCTTCATGTAGTACCATACAAGTTTAATCAGATCGTTCCTCAGAGATAAATGCTGCGAAAGACAAATCTACTTTCTAAATCACCCTGTACACAATTCCCATTATTGACTGAAATATGATTTAAGACTTAGTGACAAAACCTTCTATCCTTTTGTAATGGTCTGTAGAAAATTTAGCACATGGTACATATACTTTCTGTGGGAGGATGAAATTATAATGAGTTTAACATTCCTTAATTTTGTAGGAAACAGTTACTAAAAAGTGAGTTCACAGATATCTGTACCAGTTGCAAAAGACATTCATTACATATACCACCTACATGTATATACATACAGTACCTTACAAAAAACAAAACAAAAATCTGTGCAGCTATTCGCGATATCTGTTGCATGTTATAGCACTTCAAATGCCCTACATCTGAATTGTTATTTTTTGCTATACATATTCTACATTTTGTGGCTGTTTTTACTTTTCAAAATGTGCCAAATCGACTCCATGCTCACTCCAAACTGAACGACTTGTGGCCATTGGAGGCATTGTAATTTGTTTGTTTGGTTGTGTTTGCGGTCTGTTGATGGTGTTATTGTTGTGGCTGAGATTTAGCCCAATGTCAGCTGCTCATCAGGAATGCACATGTGGGGATGGGATCGTTAATCACACCCTGATCAGATGGATATGTAATTAAGAAATGATACCATGAATGATACCATTTCATGATACCATTTCATGATGTGTTTTTTTTTTCAATTTGAGAGAATCAAACATAGAAAAGGTCATTGAATTAAATTGAATTAATTGGTTTTATTGCAATAAAAGAACATGCAGCTGGAAGGCTGAAATTGCTCAATTTACAAAGTCAGTATACAACACAATAACGATCAAAATATGAATGACTAAAACGTACAACCATAAATCATGTATAATTAAACAAAATAAAACTCAAACATTACATCAAAATTTAAATATATTACAGATATTGAAAGAGAAATTGAATAAAGACACGTGAATCTGTTATGATACATAATGTTTGTGGCTCCATGTATAGACAGATGTTGAAAAAATGCACCTTATTTGTGGTAAAGAGGGGAATTAACCCTCTATTATTTGAAACGAGCTTCACATTGTAGGTAGGCTAAGCTGAAACTTAACATGATATATTCTGTTTTCATCTTCTTTAATTAGTATTAAATGTTTATGAATCTATACAGTTTCCCCCTTTTTTCCTTCAAAATATAAAGACTTTTGAACAGGTATGCTGTTCAAAACAGGATTTTAATCACAATTTTTTTTTATCTCTTTCATTTAAGGTACACAATGTTAGTCGGGAGGCCTCCGTTTGAAACCAGTTCCCTCAAGGAAACCTATGCACGCATCAAGCACAACAAATATCACTTCCCGGAAACCCTTTCCCCTGTTGCTAAGGAAATCATCTCAGACTTACTATCCTCAGACCCAGAGGAACGACCTCCATTAGAGGTGGTCATTGACCATGAATTCTTCACTCAGGGTTTTGTTCCGGAGACGTTATCGCCGACGGCGTGCGTGACCGCGCCAGACTTCCCGATCACGAAGGTCCTGATCAGCGATCGCAAGGGAGACCTCGTCACAAATGAATTCTGTCGGTTAAAACGGGAGAGCACGTTACAGAGGAGAGACGTGACGGCTCCGCTGTCTGAACTGATTAACAATGATAGCAGCAAGCAAGGATCAGGAACCACTTCAGTGAGTTCATCATTTTTGTAATGGAATCACCAAATTTAACAAATTCCAGACAATTGCTGCATTTGTATCACCAATCTAAACAAAAGAACATACATGGACATGTACACATGAATCTTTGCTTCATACATGAAACTTTAAAGTCCATGTGTGAATTTTTGAAGCTTTTTTTAGAAGTAGGTATCGAAGAAAGAAAAAAACCTGAGTTTGAAGCACATATATGACGAGGCAGTTACATCGTTCTCCTGTTGAGTGACAATTTGCTCTCTGGTTCTCTCCAGATTTCATATTTAAATGAGAAATATTTCACTGTGCGTTTGCCCTTATGTTCCTACCCAAATAGCTTGAGACTCACTTTCGAGATTATAGATCGCAAATGGCTGTTGTTACCTTTAACTTAAAATCAATGGATCATAGTTACTGAATATAATTGCATAATAATCTTTTCATGATGAAATCAATTACTGCTTTGTTCGTCCCTTTCTTTTCTGTTATATGCAGGCCTGATAAAAAACCCGATTTAAATCGGTTTCCCGTTTGTTTTTTTTTTCTCCCGATTTTATCCTGATTTTCCCTCTATTTTTCCCTATTATTTCCCAATTTTTCTTACTCAAAAGGGGGGGGGGGAATGTTGTTAGAAGCCATTTTCTACACGAATCCTCTTCTTTTTTTTTTACTCAAGGGGGGCGTGGTTGAGGGGAAGAAAAAAAAACCTTTTTCTTTTTAGTGCTCGCTCTCACCCCTGTATATGCAATGATAGAAATTATTTTTGAATTACTTTTCTTTTCTATGTGCATCAGCAAAACTCAGGCAAACCTTCCAGTCAACCTAAGCTGAGAACGAGGATAACAGGGTCACGACCCATGACCCCAGTGACCTCAGCTATCAAGACAGCCATGGTGAATGTCATAGAGAAGAGAAGTGCAGGTAATTTGATAGGAATTGACAGACCATGCTCTTCACTTAATGACTACAACTGGAATTTTGGAATAAAATATAAAATTGAATGTAACATGGTAATTCAGATACAAATGTGAATTAATTCCTGTGAGGAACCCATTTATCTCACCTTGGTCCAGTTTGGCAAATGTAAATTAATGTCTTACCAAAGACGTCAGGGCTGTTGCAGGGATTTGAACCCTGTAACTGGTCAATAAGGGTGACTTATCTCATAGACCACAGCACCTTCACTCAATGGCGATTTCATATCAAACTGTTTCTTTTTCCTCTAACAGCAGTGACCATGGTTAAGAGTGCATCAATCTGTTCTATGGACAAGGTCTATGAGATGCTCAATACATGCTTAGAACATATGCCAAAAGGTAATGTAGTTTGACAATTTTATTCCTTTTTCAATAAATAAATGTCTCTGTCTCTCTATTCAACAGATAACAAATTTTGAATTTTTTCTATAAATTCTGTATTAAACCGAATGCATTTGAGATAAATTGGAACTACACATTTCAAAAAGCACTAAATGTCATAACGTATTTGTGGCAGTTTTCTGTGGAAATTGCAACATGTGTATCTGAAAGATTCGTTGGTACAGTCAAACCTGCTTTAGTGACCACATGTTTGCAAAGACCACCTGTCTACAAGGACCACATTTTTTGTTTCCCTTGAAAATGGTTTCTCATTGAAACATGTGCTAAAGGAACCTGTCTACAAAGACTACTTTTTGTGTTTCCCTTGGGCGGTCGCTGTAGACAGGTTTGACTGTAGTTACAAAGTTCAGGGCCATTTCAGACATGGTGAAGTTATTCTGCTTTGAAAAGGAGTTTCGTGACAAATTTATAAAGACATGACAGATGCACTTCAAATATTTGCATCTTATTACATACAGATCAATAAGTCGTATAGTGATCGTTGCCCTGGCCTGCTATTGTCTTTACCCCAAAATATTGCTTCTCGTTATTCAATTACACACTAAGTTTTGTCACATCTCTTTTTTTCCCCAGGAGATTAAAAAAAAAAGTAGCTATCGATAATAGTCAGAAGGTGGCCAAATATTATGTGTTGCAATTGCCAATTAGGGTACTCATTTGTACCGGTAATTTAAAAAAATGTGCTTTCCACATGTATCATTTTTGTCTCGCCTGCCTTGTCTCGCCTGCGTAGCAAAAAGCGAGACATAGGCGCCGCTTTTCCGGTGACGGCGACGGCGGCGACGGTGTCAACATCAAAAACTTTGAATTTTGATATAATTTTTAAAGTATAAGTTCTAAGTCAATGAAACTTGGACTATAGGATAATCAAGTATCCCCAATCATGTGAGTAGAATTTCAGATCACAAAGTCAAGGTCAAAGGTCATTTCAGGTCAACAGACTTGGACTATGTTGTAGAATCATCATCGAAAACTTAACCTAAGGTTAAGTTTTTGAATTTTTGATATAATTTTGAAAATATAAGTTCTTTGTCAATGAAACTTGGACTATAGGATTATCAAGTCTCTCCAATCATGTGAGTAGAATTTCAGGTCACTAAGTTAAGGTCAAAGGTCATTTTAAGGTAAAAAAAACTTAGACTTTGTTGTGGCATCAACATCAAGATTTCAAAATGTTTCTTCTTCGTTATTTTTCAACCGATTTTGATTCTGATTGTTTCATATGATAGGGCTAGGAAGGGGACTTAAAACTTTTACACAGAATCGTGAAATTCATTATCTATGCTAATTTATGCAAATTTATTCGAAATCACAAAAATGCTTCTTCTCCTTCATTTCTCGACCAATTTTTATTTGGTTTGCTTTATCTGGTAGAGCTAACTTTGGTACACTAAAGTTCTACACAGAATTTTGTTCTCCATTAATTGTTGTAGCGAGATGTGGATGAGCGCTACGTCATTGACGTTCTGGTTTATCATATTGAATTGCGTTATGCAGGCGAGACCGCCGAGAGCGTTTCCCTCGTTTTTTAATTGAGTATTTCATGCTGCATGAAGTCAACTGAAATTAAAGAAGTTTGAAAGGCTTTCCCCTTAGGCTTTATTAAACCTTTATTCATATTGTTCCCTTTTTGTCCTTCATTGTCTAGAAGACCACAGAACCACACCCAAATACAAGCCCAACCCGAGCGAGGTCGTCTGGGTCATCAAATGGGTCGACTACTCCAACAAGTATGGCTTCGGATACCAGCTCTCAAACAAGGTCGTTGGGGTCATGTTCAACGACAAATCAAGAATTAGCTTTACACCTGATAGAAGGTAATAAAATGAAAATATAGCTAATAAAAAATGATTTGTCCTGTCATCAAGTAACGATAATAATAATAAAAACGTTGCTTATAAAGCGCTTACCACCGAAGTCTCTAAGCGCTATAACAAACAAAAGAGTGCAAATAAACCTACAAATTACAATACATATGAAATACACATCAATGTGAACAGAGTAAGTTAAAGACACTCAGCAGTCGGCTCTCATGGGGAATTCGACACTGTTCGGGTGTTTACCCAATGAGGTGTTGTCAATCACAAGGGTTAGCCTTGAGTTTTGTGACCATTAGACCTTATGTAATGCTTGCTTTTCCCTCACCGAGTCGCTCTCGAGTATTCTCCGAGAGATTAGGGGTGAATTCTTGACTATCCAACGGGTTCGCTGTGTGCAGATTTGTACTCCCATTAGTGGTATTTCCACCAAGTCTGGTGTCAGCGAATTATGACCTTCTGCACATAGAAACTGACGCATGACTCCCTTTAATCATCAAAAGCAATTCTTGTACAGTATATTTGTAATTTGATTCATTTATAATGAAGCGTTTTAAGTGATGATGTAGACTTTAATAATATGGGGTTACTTGCACTGACAATAATTTTTAGACTTTAATTTTTCAGCAATTTCATGCCTTTTAAAAAAATTTAGTGAGCCTAAAATGTACAACAATTCATTTTAATTATGTGATAAAAATTGGGTGAAAAAAGGATTTTTTAAAATGAGGTTCTACTTTGAGCCTTGAATCAGCGTAAGTAACAATATATATTCTCTCCCTCTGCCCTCTCCAGTTCAGTGCAATATTTATCAACGGACAGCAAGGTACACTCGTTCCCTCTCAGCTCCGTCCCCAGTAGACTCTCCAAGAAGGTGACTCTCCTGGATTACTTTGCTACATACATGGACGAACACCTCATCAAGGTGAGTTGGGTTGGCCTTCTGCCTCTAAACCATCGGCTGCCAGCAAGAAAGCCGTTAATGCCACTGACGGGTAGACCAGGGCCCCATTTCACAAAACTTGTCATCAGTGACAAGTGACAGTTTTTGTTATAAGCTACTGAAATCCTTCCTTCTGATTGGTTATCAGCAGATTTGTCACTGATTTTTGTCATTTGTCATTAAAAAAATCTTTGTGAAACGGGGCCCCAGGGCCCTGTCTTATAAAGAGTTGCAATTGATCCAAATCAATCGTAGGTCCTCCAATCAATCGCAAGTTTGCAGACCCCTATCTCTTATGTACACGGTTGCGATTGATATCAACTTGTTATAAGACGGGGCCCGGTTGGTACAAATGACCTCACATATATGCACACATCTTTTACACATGAAGAGGTCTCACTTTGTGCATGTTAGAATAATCACTGCCACAGTCAGGGAGGTTCTTTATGAATACCTTTTGTTTGTTCTCTTGAGAAGAATACTTCCGCCTGTGTATCATAGAGTGTACCGTCAGTGCATAACTGAACAATGAGTATGTATTCAAATTGACTTGATATTGATAATAATAATAATAAAACGGTGCTTATAATGCTTATAAAGCGATTTCCACAGAAGTCTCTAAGCGCTAGATGGGTTTTTACAATTTTGTACCAACGACTTTGTGTGCCCATGCGCAGATTGAATACAAAGATCTACAAACTGGCTTACACGTTGCTCATATGGTTTTCTTGCGAACAACTGATGTAATGATCTGGAATAATTATCAAATGCTAATTTGGGCTTCTGGATGCTCTTCATCTTCTGTGGCTTGCTTTATCTCCTTTTCAGGCTAGAATTCTATAACTTAATGAATCGAACGGTTCATTATTTAAAAGCAACTACCGTTTAGGATGAAATAAGAGCATTACTGCTTTGTACTCATTATCATATCACATGATCTCATTCCATTGCTCCGTATTGAAATACAAAATATCCCAAATTACTCCTAAAAAGAACAAGCTACGCTACATGCAATGTTTGTGGAGCTACTACAAGCACCTTTCTGACCCGTAGATTTGGTGCATGTACTACACAGTGCGTCCCAGAAAAAAACGAAACCGAGAATTATTGATGTTTTATCATAACTTAATCACAATTATAAATGATAAATGACACATATTTGTGAAAGACTTCATGCGTGGCTGATTGTCAACGAAACGGAGTTAAGTCTGTTGTCGATTCTGCTAGTTGCTACGGCAGGCAGCCGGTGAAAACGAATTTGTTTGATAAAATTATGGAAATGCAAGCACTACTTTAAACAAACAAAACTTTGTCATTCCTTGCTGATGTTTCCTGATTGAGGTGTCATATGAAAGGCAGAAACTCAATTTTCTAGAAATGTGATTTTCTCCTTGAAATTCAGATACTGTCCGCCAAATGACTTTTTGGTTTCTTCTCTTCAAATTCATTTTAATCACTCATGCGTAAAATATGCACTATATGAGTTGCATCAAAGGAAAGACGAGGATCTAAGCTTTCCAAATATGTGTCAATTATCAATTATAATTGTGATTAAGTTATGATAAAACATTGATAATTCTCAGTTTCGTATTTTCTGGGATGCACTGTTTATTGTCATTACATGAAAAAGTAGTGACCTATCTTCTTCATAAGATGAAACAAGAATATTCATATTGTCTACTTTATCCATGCTTGGTGCTTGTTCTCATCATCATCATCATCATTCTGATCACATGATCTCCTTTCTTCATCCCATCATGCATCATTCACCTTTGACCCCTTGACCCCAGGGTCCTGCGGCTGACCTAGGGTACAGCGGCACTTCACCCATCACTAACACTCCGCAGGTAGCTCTCTCTAACCCATGCTGTTCCAGTGTTTTATGAATTAGAATAGTGGTTGTTGTGGAAAGAATTAGAATCTGTGTGCCTTTCTCTACCTCCCTGAAGCACCTGGGGGGTGTTTCACAAAGATTCTAAGTCAAACTTAACTGTAAGTTGGACTTAAATATTATGGAGAGCCATTTGTACCATTAATAAAATATATTCAAAAGCAAAAATCCAAGTACTTTAGACATTTCATAAATTCCACATCAAGAACATGAAATTTCCCATGATAATAGAAAATATGAATAATTTGAATCAATATTTGATGCCTTTAAAATATTTTCCAGGATGCTAATGGCCTTAGAGATAAGTTCAACTTAGGATCTTTGTGAAACACCCCCCTGGATATACAATGAAACCTGTTTATAATGACCACTCAAGGGAGACAAGAAAAGTGGCTTTATACATGTAGGCAGGTGGTCTTCATGTACAGATTCCTTTAGCACATGTTTCAATGAGAAACAATTCTTAAAGGGAAACAACAAATGTAGTCTTTGTAAACAGGTGGTCTTTCTATACAGGTGGTCACTAAATCAGGTTTGACTGTACAATGATTATTGCGGTGATTCCTTGCAATGTGCTCCGTATGACTTGCATGTGTGTCTCTTTTTCTTGTACATATTGCATCCAAAAAGTGACAATATAACCATTATTAATTTAAAGTTGGTGCTTTCTGCTATCACTACCATTAGTCATAACATTGATAGATTTATTAAATATATTTGTGGCTTCCACCCAGTAAATAAGATCGATTGATCGATCTGTATCAATAAGGTCCATTGATCGACCTGTATTGAAAAACACAAGTCAGAAAAAAATCTTGGAACCAGCGGGATTTGAACCTGCCATCTCCTGCTTGCCGGGCAGCAACTCTACCACCAGGCCATCACTGGTCCATGGCACAGTCACGATGAACTAGAAACAAATACCTAAGCTCTCCTGATTAATTCTGACTCATTAATATTCATTAGTCCGCCATAGGACAGTAACTTTTATAAATGTAATGCTTCCTGGGAGAAATTTCAATTATTAAATATATTTGTGGCTTCCACCCAGTAAATAAGATCGATTGATCGATCTGTATCAATAAGGTCGATTGATCGACCTGTATTGAAAAACACAAGTCGGAAAAAATCTTGGAACCAGCGGGATTTGAACCTGCCATCTACTGCTTGCCGGGCAGCGACTCTACCAGATTGATAGATTTGTTAGTCATGGATAAAATATATGGATAATTGTCATATGTCACATTGCATAGAATTGCCAATTTTCTGATTTCATTTTATCTGAGGGTTTTTGATGTTCTGGTCTTTCTTTTGTTATTGCTGATTGTTTGGGTCATGTTTTACTCCTGTGTTTCCTGGTATTTGTACTATCTCATTATTGCTTTCTGTTTTCAATAGTTGTTGCTTGTCCCCATAGCCTGTATTGTACTAATTCAGTTAAACCTGATACGAGGACTAAAAAAAACAAGAAGGCCTTTAGACTAGATGAGCCTAGGTCTATTTTCCTTTGGTAAACTTGAAATTCTGACCAAGCTTGAATTCACTGTCGGGTTTACATTTGAGTAGAATATGGACCAAAGAATATTTGCAGTTTTTTCCTGCTCAAAAATTTACCTTAGACAGGTAGTTATATGATATTGCTGTGTTTCCCCTTGTTGTTGTGTCTTGAATTGGTTATTTGGTGTTTTTTGCAGCATTCATGATCATGTGACTGACATGTAGGTGTTTTATTCAACTATTTGTATGAATCTGAGTTTCGTTTTCTTCTTTCATTCTTTCCCTCTTTTCTTATGTTTTAAACCTCAAACAGGTAATTCCTACTACTTTGCAGTTAAGTTTTAGTTGTTTCTTGCTTGTCTCAATAAGTTTTGCTGTTAACATTATATTGATGTAACTCTATTTCTATTTGTGTTATAAGTCTGTTATTTGTTAAGGACTGGGGCATCTGTTCTGGGGAGTGTTTCACAAAGACTAAGATCGACTTTAAATTGGACTTAACTATGACGGGCCATTCTTGCCACTGGTTGCTCTCGCCATTAGTCTCTTAATTATGATATTTGGATAATGTCTTTCCATTCAATAATGAACTATCAAGAAAATGTAAATTCTGTAGATTTGTGACAATGGTTTGTACGTCCCTTGAGAGAACCAATGCCAGTAAATGGTGAGAGCAAACCGTGGCATGAAAGCCTGCCATAGTTAAGTCCACTTAAAGTCGATCCTAGTCTTTGTGAGACACCCCCTGATCCTACAATTAAGGCTACATGGATAAAATTAATAGTGATGATATTTCTCTTTGTCATGACAGGGCATCGACTCGGACAAGAAGGACGGGATCAGATCGCCCTCGCCCAAGAGGAAAGGAGTGGATAAACCCGGCCCCGTCAACTCCGCCCAGCCTTATCTAGAGAAGTGGAACAGAACGGGGAAAGCCATCACGATGTATCTCAGTAACGGTACATTGCAGGTATGAAATAACTACCAGTATTCACTTTCTGTCACAGTACCTTTGAGCTAGGTGGGGGTCTTGGGGGGGGGGATTTTATGGAGAAATGGAGCAGAACAGGGAAAGTTATCTTTATCTACCTCAGTAACAGAACATTACAGGTATAAATAAAGTAACTATTCATTTCATTATGGTGCTTACAAGGCACCTTAGGCAATAACACTAAGATTGTAATGCATTATTTTGTGCAACGGGAGGGGGGGGGGGGGGTTGGGTATCCAGCTAATTTGATCTTGCCTACCTAGAGAACTGGCATAGGAAAGGGAATATTGCTATCTTTAAGTACCTTAGTAATGGTACATTTAATAGCAAGAAGTAAGAATTGATTTTCATAGCTGTGTTGAGCTTTAGTCTCTGTGAACAGAATGTTGTCGCTCAGGATGATTCGTCTCTGAAACATGTTGAAGAGCTACCATGAATATATGTACAGAGTAGTTTTAATGTGTAAATGTTTGGAGTCTGCTTAAGATTTTTCAACATGTGTGATTTCTGTTAGTGTTAATTACCATCAAAAAGTGGACTTGCATTTCTTGAAATGAGAAGGAAAAAAAAAAAAACCCTTGATTCTCATGATATTGTCCATGTTTAAAGATTTAAGCTTCAACTCTTTACGGTTTCTCTTTACATTGCAGGTCAACTTCTTTGAAGATCACACCAAGGTCATTCTCAGCCACAACAACAACGACCATCTAGTGACCTACATCAACGAATCCCGAACCCCGACCACGTATCGCGTGCTTCACATCACCCATCACGGCTGCACGAAGGCGCTTCACACCCGACTCTCCTACGCAAGACACGTTCTCTACAGCATGATGGGTAAAGGCGAGGAAGACAACGAAAAACTATGACCCCGATGGATTGGGGTCGGGGGTCAGAGGTCATGAACCTTGTGTAAGATAGTGATGTCTCTTTGGAGGAGATGATGACCACCATGGTGTTCATAGAACATTGAAGCTTAAACATGCTTTTCTGGCGACCAATCGGAATATTCCTTTCATGCACTCAATCTTGAAAGCTGATGGGCTGAAGACGTTTCCCCCATCAAAGGCCTATCCACTTTTGCATACACTTTTGATTTGTGTGCGTATGCATGTATGCGTGTCGATCCCGGGAGCTTACCAATCAAATGCTAAAGGGTTTCTAACCCCACTGTATGTCAAACTGTACATGTATCTATGCTCTGCTAGTGTGTGGTGTACAGTGATGACAAAGTACGGTGAGATTTGCTCAAGATGAAACGGACACCTGACATTCCCTCTGGCGACAACTGCTCCAAGATTATCTCGTCAAACGTTTCGAGCTAGGATTGGGTTGCAATTAGGTTTTAGGTTTAGGGGTCAGTTTAGAATCGGGTATAGTGTTGGAACCAGGGTTTAAGTTTAATAGGAGATTGGTTAGTGTAGGAAATTATCAAGGAGCAATTATCGAAGGAGCACGTGTAGCACAACATATGAATTATATTGTGCGTAAGTTTGCAAACTCATGATACATCAAAACAGAGGTTCTTAATGTGCAATCTTCCTTTTAAGACTTCTGAATAGTAATAATGCTATGTCTTTTAACGTTGGTTTTAATGAATAACATACATTCTGAAACTTTCATCATTAAGTTTATGTGTTTCGGTGTGAGCTTTGAACAGCATTTTGTTATGATAATTTCCATTTAAAGAAGAAATCCATCCTTCCTCAAAGTACCATCATTGAACAAATACAGACTTTTTTAAAAAATGGATCAGTGAACATTTGATAGAAATTTGTCAAATATTAGCAGAGTTATGAAGTTTTAATGATTTGGAAATTAGAAGAACAAGCAAACTTGACAACCTTATCATATGCAAATTACTCACCACTCACAAAAAAGATTTCATGAATTTCCATTTCCTCCCCTAAAATATTTCCTCATACTTGTATATATAATTGAAGCCATGGTCTTACATGTCCTCCCTTATTAAAGGAATAAGAAACTTGAGAATATTTGGTATTTTAGATGCTTTTTCCTAAAACAGATCTGTGGAGAGTTGCTTGCATTGGAAGTCGTAGAGTTGTCATTTTGTGCAGTGTTTTTCAAAACTTCATAACTCTAAAACTGTTATTACTTTTTGTCAGATATCTCTGAAATGTTCACTGACACATTTTTCTCTGATTATTCTGTTGATGTTCTGATGATTCTGATGATTTACAAATGGTATTTTGATGTTAACGATGGATTTTCCCTTTAAGATTTAAATTCAATATTATGGTGCTACATATTTCATCCATCAGCAAGTGATCATGAAAACGTGATTGATGAATAGCTAATAGTAATTGGGTGCTAAGACTTGCCTGTTCAACATTCAAACTTGCTCAAAGTTGCAATGGCTGTATAAATGAATGAATAAAATGAGGGTAAAACTGACAGGGTGTTTGGGTAGTATTTACATGTATTTGTAGATCAAACCGCTTACAGATTTCTCAACCTGCATTATCCCACTTTAAAATGAGATTTGAAAAGGCTAATCTGATCAGCATTTCTTCTCTAAATAAGCATTAACAAAACTTTTATTCATTGCTTCATTTTTATGCCTCCGCTACAAAGTAGCCGGATGCGTTATGTTAGAAATAAATTGTGTTTCTGTGATGAATGAAATGAAGAAAAAAAACAATGCTAAAAAGTGTTGTTTTTTAATTTCAAAATAACTAATATATTTGTATTACAGTTATGTTGAACTCTTTTGTATGTTTCCAAATTGAGTAATTTGATGACAGTTTTCCTATAAAAACAGGTGAACCTGATTAGATAATAGACATGTATTTTTTTCCAATTTTTAATTTGTTGTTTGTGTTTTGAAAACACCTGAACATCACAGGGTCACTCACTCACTTATGAGTTTTACCAGTGTTTATGCAGCATTTTCCCTTGCATTGTTTTCTTGCCCCTATGAATGCAACTCTAAAGAACAAGAAATATTTGTGTACTTACATATTTATTTGTATCAAAGTTTTGTTCAATATTGCTTGTCTTCCCATTTTGTTAAAGTCATTTTTATCATTTTTTTTTACTCAAATAGCAATGTGGTTTTTATAAAAGTAGTGAATGATGGTGTATTCTTTTATTCTGTTAAATGTAGGAATTCAATGACAAATGCATTCTTTTTGCAAGCACAAAAGATGTCTGGATTTCGTATAAGAGTTCTGTGTTATTGATGTTATTATTGTGCAATTTTTTAAAAGTCTTCTCTCCTTGACCAAATGCTGCTATTTCTTTCTCTCATAACATTCAGAAAATTAATATTGTTATGTGTTATGAAGTGATAGCATTACCAAATTAACATCATCATTTATATACCTATGTTCCAATATGTATTCATTTCTCAGTATTTTTTTTAAAATATGTTTTTTGTTCCATTGTGGGATATTTCGTGGAAATTCTATATCAGTATTTCTTTCATCTGCAAACAAGATTGAACTAGGGCATTCATTAACAAGAAATAAGGTTGTGATGCAAATCATTGTTTTTTAAAGCCCATCTGCACTAGTTTGGCCAGGGGGGATTATACCATCCAGCTTGGTCACTGAAAGGTGGTTACCTCATCAACTCAGCTCTCAATTAACCTAAGAAAAAGAGGATCATGGGGGACCAACAGGTACCGCTTAGGCATTGTTTTCTATATAGAGGGCGCAAGTAGCTACAAGTAGTACAGTAGGGCTTTAAGGCCATGGCATTCTGTCATGAGAGCACTATATCACAAAATCCCTTCTAGTGCCATCTCAGGTCAGCTTGAGCTGTATGGTCCAGTACGTAACTCGCTGCTTCCGTAGCTGCGGTGTTGGTTCATGCATCGAGTCCTCTGTCTTCGAAGTGGCAATTAGGAATTGGGTAACGCACTGTTGGTAAGTTGACCATAAGATGGTGCTGTGTAATAAACAGGATGCTACAGCAGAAAGTTCATCAGTTCAGTATCGCTTTAAAACTGAGAGGCTGCATTTTTTGTCTTCAGAAATACACATTTCACATACTTTTGTCAGTAAAAAAAAACAAACAGGGGCTAGCTTCTTGAAAGTGTCATCATTCCACATGTAGTCTCACCGACAATAATTTATGTAAAATTGTTAAATTACAGATGATATCGTGTTCTGGTAATAACGAAAAATATTCTAACCCAATCCATTCAAACTTGTAATCTAATTGAATGTCTATATCTATTACTTATGAATGTTAAATTGTTAAGTGTAACTTTGTAAATAGAAAAATGAGACGTGAAGCCTGTATATTTGTAAATAAGACAGAAATTTTATATGAAGACTGAATGGAGATATCTATGTTTTAATGATATTCCTTCATTTCGTGATCTAATCATTTGCTTTCTGTAGATTGTTCAGTTAATGGATTCATGTGCAATTTAGGAAGACATGGGTTAAGTTTGGTGATTAGAGCAAATCATTAGTTGGATGATAATGAAATTATGCCTGTAGGGTGTACAATTTTTAATTGAAGATGTTGTCATTGATTCTTTAAAAGAAAGATAATGGGAAATATTCTTGTTACATTCTTGGTTTCTTTTAAGGTAGATAATTTGCAATCATTTATTGTAGTGATAGATTTAGTGTTTAAAACACTCCTCGATACCTTCATTTTATTCCTCTAGTCGTCGGTGGAAATAAAGAAAGAATAGCACTTAGCCAAGCTTGCACAGAACTTGAAATACTTGCTTGTGGCAAGCTATTTATAAAACCACTTTCCTACTGTACAAACGACACGCTCACAAAGATTTTCATAACAATGTAATCTGGGAAATGTGAAAACGCTATTGTTTTGCCGTTAGAAATCATGTTTAGATCATGTCATATGTCATCATAATGGTCGAAAAAATTGAAATCATTTCCGGGTTGACTTATCAAGTCTCCGCATTGAAGAGAGAATGATTGAGAAAGAATAACTGATGTCTATTCATTTTTTTGCCATGCCAATATTATTTTATGCAAATATACCCTTTGTCAATATTTGCCAAAAATAGTCACATATATCTGTTTGCCCTTATGTCTCTCTTTATCTTTCTATCTCTCTCCTCTTCCTCTCCCTCTCTCTCTCTCTTCACTCTCTTTCTCTTCACTCTCTTTTTCTCTCTTTCTCTTTCTTTCTCACTATATCTTTCTCATTATATATCTGATATTTCATTATTTTTTTTATATGGTTATGTCAACTCTCAGACAGAAAAGCCTACATTTTCTTTCCAGTATTTTCATCTTTTTTTCCTGACATTATTTAATGAGAAATATTTATTATTGTCATGAAATATGTAATTTCATTGAGATACCCACAAGAGGCTTTTTTATGTTGTATTTTAGTTTCCTGTTTTATGTTCCATTTTCCTTCCACCATGAGATTAGTTGGGGAAATGATCACAGAATATGACTGATGAATGTAAATACAATGATGTCACTGTTGAATGGTTTAAACATTTAACGAGTGATGTAAAGGTCATGGGTTGGATCTTAAATCATGTCCTTATACCCGAGGCATTTTTTCTGTATTGCTTCTCTCTATCCAGGTGTTATGATGCAAGTGTCATTGTGGTATGTTCAGCCATGTGCACGCCAAAAAAGGAGCCTGGTCTGAATGCACCCGAGAGAGTGTGAGATTGTGTGCAAGCAAGCCTGCATCCAATTTCCAGGGGGGAGGGGGGCGTTTCACAAAACTTGTCATCAGTGACAAATGACAGTTTTTGTTATAAGCGACTAAAATCCTTGCTTCTGATTGGTTATAAACAGATTTGTCACTGATTTTTGTCATTGGTCATTGAAGAAAGGCTTTGTGAAACAGGTCCCAGAGTAATAATAATACACCTTTGAAGTGCTGAGCGACATTCTGAAAGCATTAGGGGTTTCATGAACCCATATTATTATTATTATTATCATTATTATTAGCCTGTTATTACTTTAAACAGAGAACAACATAGGGGGCCTACTTACAATTATGCAAACGGTTGAAAATGACCTCTTCATCTCAGGGCCATGTGTTTTGTGTAATTTTCTTGTTGATGTTGCCTCAAACTGTGTTCACGTATGCCATGGTAATCGCCTAGAAAAAACCTGTTGCAGCAACAACACCAGCAACAAAAGTGACGGCCACGTTCAAACAACAAGTGGAAGCAAAATATAGACACTGCATGCAACAGAAGGTTAAGTCCCTATCCGTATTCTTTGCTCTGTCTGTCAAACAGGTATATTGACGTGTGCTATGCAATGTCAATTTTTTTTCTGCTGCCGTTATCATTATTATTAGTAGATTTAAAAAAAAAAATATTTATTTTTTTTTTTTATTTTTTTATTTTTTATTTATTTATTTTTTTTTTATTTATTTATTTATTTTTATTTTTTTAATTTTTTTTTGGTGGGAGGGCGATAGATAACCACCTAATGTCTGAGTGAGGCTTTATTATGTTGTATACCTTGTATGTCAAAATGCATAGTATTAAAATCACTATAGCTGCATTTATACTGCAAGTAAAATTCATTGATTTTTCTCCAATTCCAGTGTTTTGTCTTAAGTTGTTACAGGCATACACAACCAAAAGCTAAAATTTAAGAATCCACCTTTGATGCGTTAAAAAAAAAAAGTTGTCAGAAACTTAACTGCTTTTTGCCGTGTAAATGCCCACTCTCGAAACATGGATGAGTGATTCCAGTTTTTTGTTCACACTGATCTACTCGCTTCCATGCAATTGCAATTGCACTAGTCATCAAAACATATGGCAGCCCCCAAATCAATGATTTTTTTTCTTCAAAATGGTGTGTTGGTTGTGTAAATGGGCCTTATGTTGCATATACAAGATGGTGTGTACGTCTATACACAACTGTTATGTGCATGGAATATGGACATGCATGGCTGAACGTGTGTTGTAAAACATTTTCACTGTAAATGTTCAGAATAAAAATATTCTGTATGCAAAGAAATCAATTATAGAGTTTCATCATTTTTCTATTAATTTTTGATTATTATTCACAACATGCCCAAACTTGGACCAAGATATAGGTTTACAAGTTGCAATCGATCATGTTTTTGCAAATTGTATATTTGAACATGATCTACAAAGTCATCCTGAGAGTTATAATGAGAGATTGTTATAAATGTGATAAATATAATAAATCATGATAATGGTGACTGTATACTGATGTTAACGCTGTACTATAATTTCAAAAATGTAATTTCAAAAATGTTATTTCAATGTAACTTGTGAAGAATGCATGATGATTAAAATACATCAAATGCTGAATAGATTATATTTGTTGCAAGTCTTGTTTGTGGGTGTGCACAGAGAGACAAAGATATTGTATTTTCGCTGGGGGGGGGGGGGTGGTCTGATCAAGGGCGACTAGCAATAGGCACTCAAAGGGATAGTCAAGTTTTGGTATAGAAAGTACAGTTTTGGTCAAACTGAATTTTAGTAACCAAAACCTGCACCATTACATTACAAACCAACAGAATTAACTGCACCATGCTCAAAAGGTATGCACAAATTATGAACGACTTTAATAGTTAGAAGACCGTTAACAATTGAAAAGAGCCTTTAAACCCCATGAGGGCATTCTCTAAAAAGTCATTGGTTCCAACCATCTTTAATGATAAAATTGTGCACGCATGTTATGTTTTGTTAAAATAATCAACGTTGTTCAGATGATAGAAATTCGTGCTAAGGTATTAACTTCAATGCTAGGTGTAAATTAAAGATAATCTGAAAGTTTGAGTGAAAACAGACCATTATTAATGATAAAAATTGGGAAAAACTGATCTGATCGACATCGTCATAAAGCAATAAATTGGCTGGCTCTGTATATACCATTCCAGATATTTAAGTGTTGAAAGATTTGTTAAAGCCTGGCAGTGGCGGATCCAGGGGGGGGGGGCCCGGCCCCCCCCCCTTGAGAAAAAAATCATGTAAAATCACGTGATTTTTACCTTTTTTGGGGGTTGGGCCCCCCCCCCCCCCTGGCGCTCAAGGGGGGGGGGGGGGGGCAAATTGAATTTTTTTTTGAGGATCAAAAAAAAAAAATGTGCTCACTACCACCCCCCCCCCCCCCCCCCCCCCCCCCCCCCCCCTCTCCACTGAGCGAATTTTGGCCGGCGCGTTTTTCAAATTTTCGGGAGCAAAAAAAAAAAAAAAAAAATTGTGCTCTGTCGGAGCGATTTTCAAATTTTCTCAAATTTTCGGGAGCAAAAAAAAAAAAGTTGGGCCCCCTCCCCTAAGAAATCCTGGATCCGCGCCTGAAGCCTGTCCTAATATCTTATTTTCATGGAAAAAGGATTGGTGAAAATTTAAAAATGGTTGGGAGAATTTACTGTTGGAAGGTGTCGCACAGTGACGCCTTTAAAGAAACTATAAATATCTTTGTGGTTTGAGAATTTTTCAGGATGTTTTTGCATTTTAGAGAGTTAGTACATGCAGTTGTAGGCAGGGGCGGCGCCAGGTTATTTTGTTAGGGGGGCGGTCGAATGAGCATGCCACGCATTGGGGGTATCTAAAGGGGCATGTGCCCCCTCCGAAGTTGAAGATCTTTTTTTAAATTGATGAAATGGCTCTCTTAGGTGCATACTTTGTGCCTTAAGTTCCGCTAACAGGAACGCAGGGGGTATCTGGGGGGGGGGGGAGGCGGTGTGCCCCCCTCTGAACTTGAAGTTTTTTTTTAAATTGATGCATAAATAGCTCGATTTGATGGATACTTTTTGCCAAATTAAAAAGAAAACAGTCTTCAGTTCAACTAACAGGAACAAGAACGCAGGGGGGGGGGATGTCTGAGGGGGATGTGCCCCCCTCTGAAGTTGAAGATTTTTTTTTAGTTGATGCATAAATGGCTCGATTTGGTGCATACTTTTTGCTAACTTAAAAAGAAAAGTCTTAAGTTCAGGGGGGAGGGTTGTCACCATATTTTTCAGAAGAGTTGTTATAGATGAATTAGTAATTGTTTCCATTGAACAATCAGCCATAAGGTTTAGTAGATACAAGCTAGGATTAATTTGATTTCTTTCAGTTGGTGAAAGTTTTTTCATTGTAAACCAATGTTTGAACTTCCGGTAATGTGAATGTAATAATGACGCGTCTAAATCTGATCACCTGATTTCGCTTTCTTTTTCTCTTTTTTTTCTTTATTTTCTCTATCTTTATTTTTTCCCCTATCCCCGCCCTCCCTTACGTCATAATTTAGATTTTATAGTTCTCTTTCTCCTGGCCTTCCTCCTTCTCGTCCCCTTCCTTTTTTTCCTTCTCCTTCTTTTCCTTTCTTCTCCTTTTCATTTCCTTTTCCTTCTCCTTTTCCTCTTTCTCCTTCCCTTACTCTTCCCTTTTTTCAAAATCATAGTGGGGGGGGGGGGGAGGCAGTCGCCCCTGCCCCCCCCCCCTGTGGCGCCGCCCTTGAAATATATATGAAACATTTCATACAAAAATTACCCAGTTTTTTCATCACCTTCAACAATTTTACAGAGTCACGTTTACCGCCAAATAACAAAAATAACGTGGTTTTCGTCCGGACTTTAAAAAAAGAGAGGAGGAGGCAGGGCATTACTATTTACTTTTTTGCAATTTTTTGCAATTTTTTCCAGGATGACTCCTATAATATATGCTGATTAAAAACTGGCCAAGCCTACGGTATGTGAATATACTGATGCAATGTATGAAAAAACAAGAAAAAGGATTAATTTGTATCACTTTAGAAGCTATTTACAAAAAATGTAGATCTATATCACAGGATTTTTTTTTTTTTTTTTTGGGGGGGGGGCGGCCCCCAACTCAGTGTTATTTAGGGTACGCATATGCTTGTTCCCCCTTTTGAAAGCACCCCCTATCTGAGGACTGCCAACATTTTCGAACCCCCCTTTCGCGGGCTTTTCCTACCTTGGAACCCCCCCCCCCCCCTAAATCCGGAAAAATGCTCAATGTACCCCCTATACTCGGAATAATTTCTCAGGAGTCCAAAGAGATGAGAGAAAAAGGAAAAAACACCCCCTTTTTAAGAAATCTCCGGGTGAAAAGTCAAATAAGTAAACCCCTTTTTTTGTCGCACGAAAATTTAGTACCCCTTTACCGGACATTTTGCATGCGGACATGCGGTCATTCCGTTCTCGGACGAAAGTAGAAATGTGTAAGCGTATTTTTGTTTCAAAATTATCGAATATTTGCGGGGCGGAGCCATGCAAGCCCACAAATATTAGAATAGTCAGCCGTCTCTGAACCGATTTTGTCATTCATGAATATGATTGTATGATCTTCCAAATTTGACACTCAGTTTTTCATTATCTCACCCAAAAAAAATAAAATTGTAGCGCCTTCGATCTATAGGCTACCAAAACTCAACTAGGTCTAGATTATCAAATTGTATACCTTGTATGTCAATACACATAGTATTAAAATCACTATAGCTGCATTTATACTGCAAGTAAAATTCATTGATTTTTCTCCAATTCCAGTGTTTCGTCTGAAGTTGTTACAGGCATACACAACCAAAAGCTAAAATTTAAGAATCAATTTGATGCGTTAAAAAAAAAAGTTGTCAGAAACTTAACCCTAATAAGGCCGGGGGGGGGGGGGCCATAATGCCCCCCCCCCCTCCACAATTTTTCTGATTGCTCGGGAACGCATATGGATTGCGCGCCGCCGCTCGCTGACTTTTTTCTTTCGAGTCTTGCGCAACTTTTGAAATAATTTTTTTGAAAATCGGACCTACGGTTACAAGGTCACGTGACCTTTTGTCCTTGCATGTCAGCCTGAAAATCGCTCATTTTCGTGATTTGTGTACAAAACGTATGGCAAAGTCATTTTTCCTAAAAACAGATCAAACATGGGTTATTGGGTCTTGATTAAAGTTTAGGTGGTTGTTTTGGGAGTCAAAATAGTTGAATTGTAGTAAAAGATGAAATAAAACAACAAAAACAATGAAATACATAAGTTAAAAAAACAATGAAATACATAAGAAATTATCAAAACAAGGGATAACATAAGAAATAAGCTGGCTCTTCCAAATTTTTTGTCGTATTATTATTCAGAATGGTCTAATGAATATATCTAGTGAAAAAAAATGCTTAAATATGAATAATATATGATTTATGGGTAAAAATGTGATTTTTATGACTTTATTTGCATAAATTACCATAAATATGCAAATGAGTGAATTTTTCAAAAAATTGAAATTATCATATTATTTTTTACACCTCACTTGACATGCGTGCAAATTTTCGCGGCGATCGGCCGCTTCGCGGCCGAGATCTTAAGGGGGGCCCATAATGGCCCCCCCCGGCCCTACTAAGACTTCAAATAGCCCGGCCCTATTAGGGTTAACTGCTTTTTGCCGTGTAAATGCCCACTCTCGAAACATGGATGAGTGATTCCAGTTTTTTGTTCACGCTGATCTACTCGCTTCCATGCAATTGCAATTGCACTAGTCATCAAAACATATGGCAGCCCCCAAATCAATGATTTTTTTTTCCTTCAAAATGGTGTGTTGGTTGTGTAAATGGGCCTTATGTTGCATATATAAGATGGTGTGTACGTCTATACACAACTTTTATGTGCATGGAATATGGACATGCATGTTTGAACATGTGTTGTAAAACATTTTCACTGTAAATGTTCAGAATAAAAATATTCTGTATGCAATCCGGAAAAATGCTCAATGTACCCCCTATACTTGGAATAATTTCTCAGGAGTCCAAAGAGATGAGAGCCTGAAAAAGGAAAAAACACCCCCTTTTTATGAAGAAATCTCCGGGTGAAAAGTCAAATAAGTAAACCCCTTTTTTTGTCGCACGAAAATTTAGTACCCCTTTACCGGACATTTTGGTAACACGCATGCGGTCATTCCGTTCTCGGAGGAAAGTAGAAATGTGTAAGCGTATTTTTGTTTCAAAATTATCGAATATTTGCGGGGCGGAGCCATGCAAGCCCACAAATATTAGAATAGTCAGCCGTCTCTGAACCGATTTTGTCATTCATGAATGTATGATCTTCCAAATTTGACACTCAGTTTTTCATTATCTCACCCAAAAAAATAAAATTGTAGCGCCTTCTATAGGCTGCCAAAACTCAACTAGGTCTAGATTATCAAATAGAGGGAAACAAAATTATAATTTTATCTTTCAAGTTCTGCTCCTTATTTTCCTTCTTTGCGATACCAAGCTTTGTAAAGCGGCGCGCGCGTGTGCGCGCGTAATTAATTTTGGTGCTCTTTTTACTCTCAGCTTGACGTGCCGTGCAACATATCGGCTCCGTAACTTCACGCTGCTGTAATTAATTTGACCATTAAATACGTAGAATTATATTTAATTCTTCTGTCATCATGGCTGGATCCGTTGTCCAAATTGCAAATTTGGTATGTAGTCGACTGAACCTGTTTTATTAGTATCTGGGTTAAATTTTTCATCCGTATTTAGTCTAGATCTAGTCTAGGGTCTATGTGTATCGCTATATCGGCAGTCAGTCGACACGTGTGGATTGCCTGGTAACCGGCGACGAATTGACCTCGCTCGCAGCGCCCCGTAAGTTCCCCGCATGGCCGGTCGCAGTGCGATGGTGAACGGTGCTCTTCTTCTCTGAGCTGACTGGGATCTGGGAGTCCTCTCTAGAATGTCCTCTAGCTTTGTAGGCCATGACTTGAAATTGACAAAATCAAACTATCTTACCTAGAAATATGAGGTAGCCATCATTTGCACACCAAAGCCAGGCAAAAGGCATTTTGGCACTCTTATTTTTCAAGCCTAGCAATTTTTGATATTGATATTATAATTAACCTTCTCATTTCTGTGTGTCTCCTGAACTGAGGTCAGATGATGATGGCATTGCCAATGCCAGTAGTAGTACAGTGTCGGTGCAGTGACCAGTGCACGAATCTAGGGGCCAGGCCAGGCCAGGCTGTGTCTTTCCTTAGCTTTTTACTCAACATCAATCATGATTTAGGCTTAACTACTTCGGTTCCACTTACCAAGTTGACTGAAATAATCCGTTTAATGGTCCCAAAATCGACATCCATGTTGAAAATCTTGCAGCCTTATTTTAAACTCTCGCTGCACATGACGTCATCTAAATCCCATCCCTTCCAGTCTACGCGCAAGGCAAAATGATAGTGAAGGAAAAACTGTGTACGTCATTACAAACTCATAGCTCGTGCACAGTTTTTCCTTCACGATCATTTTGCCTTGCGCGTAGACTAGAAGGGAATCAAGGGAAGTCCCGTCTCTGAGGATTCATCGCTCATAATAACGTGAAAGTCTCTGTACAAAGTCAATGTGAAATACATCAAGAAAATCAGTGAGGAATATGTTTTTTGCATCACCAACGCACGGATCGGAAATAAGAATCATCCGCAAAAATGCAAAAAATCCTTATATTTGTGGACATATCTGTCCGTGTTTACAAAGACGATCCCCGTTTATGCGGCTGATCTTTATTCTTTTTTTTTCAGAATTAAAGGTAATACAAAGTTTTGGTATGGGGGTCATGAATTTGGTTCAAATGAACATATTAGAAGCATACGCGATCCTACAATATTCAGTGATCGTTGGCGCGGTTGAAATCGAGTCTAAAGTTATGAAATTGTAAATAATAAACTCTTTATGTTGTATAGCTCACTCTCAAGGACAAGATATTAATTAAGCTATAAAACAATGTTTCTTGACTAAAATCGACCGATTAGCTACCGTATTCACGTTTGGAAATATATATCACAACAACATATTCTGATATTTTCATGGTCGCAGCTACCATTGGACGGCCGTAGGAGCTATTTGAAATTTATCAAAATTTACCGGGAGCACCGGTAAATTTTTATATTAAAATTTTCTCGAAAGCATTTTAGTGTTTTAGCAGCTAAATTTATTAGTGTTTATCCAAATATATCAAAATTGTAAAGAATCACAATCCACCTAATTTTTAAAATTTCCCAAAACTTTGTATTACCTTTAAGAACCCTATTCATTTTCTGAATTGTGAACCCTATTTCTACATTCTGAAAGATTTTCTGATCTTTCCAAACATTTGGAGTAACGAACATGAAAATTTATGAACCTTCAGAAGAAAAACAACATTTTTTACCTACTAAATGTAGAAATATTGGTAAAGAGAAGCTGCAATGTAATTATTGTGCTCGATATTGCTTTTTTTGCAGGGGGAATATAAAGATTTCATCAAGGATTCTCCCGCTGTAATCGACTTCTACGCAACATGGTGTGGACCATGCAAGGTGATCTCCCCAAAGTTTGTGGTAAGTTGACTTCCAGTGTTCTGTATCACTGGGCTTCAAAATCAAGTTGAGTTATGTGAAAGTTTAGTAGTACTGAACATGTCATTGTGTTTCTGTCTGGAACTAGCAATACCGGTTCACTAATATATTCATATGTTATGCATAACTTTTAAACATAGGTTGTTCTTGACAGTCTGACACTTAGGTAGTATGTACACAATTAGAAATGTTATTTTGATTTATTTTTGAATTTTCAGCGGAACTACAACTTCTTAAACTCATTGACCACATTGTGTAAAATCCAACCCGTGCAAGAAATTGAATCGTCTGAAAGTAGAAAAAATGAGAATTAAGTTTTGTGAATGTTTGGAAGAAAGGGGACATACTGTATATCGAGATTATTATTAATGTTTGAAAGCTGAGCTTATTCCTCTCTGTAAATCTCAAATTTAGGAAATGGTCATTTGAGTGTAACATGTGTAAAGGTATTAAAAAGCACAAATACAGTAATGCTCATACGGAAGATTACACTTGTGTGTCAAAATAAAGCTATGATTGATAACTCGGATTTCTACTAAACAAGGGAATAGAAATTGGTATACATGAAAACCTCAACTTTCTTGTTGGTGTGAAGTCACCAGTTTGTGTACCGGTATCCGTATTAATTATCACATCCAAAGTGAACATATCCAAGACAGGTAAATTTTATTTCATTTCAAAGAAAACTGCATGAGGCATGTTCATGTTCATGTTCATTTGTAATCAGGCGCGTACGCAGGGGGGGGGGGGGTGGTTTTGGGGTAAACCCCCCCCCCTCGAGTTTTTTTAATGTGTATGTTTTTTGTATGTTATTTTGATTTTTTTTTTAAATAAAAACAATTAAAAAGTTGACCTTAAAAAGTTGACCTTACCCCCCCCCCCCCTACTGGACAAAATGTCAAATTTTCAAATTTCGAGACCCTTAAAAAGTTGACCTTACCCCCCCCCCCCCCCCCCACTGGACAAAATGTCAAATTTTCAAATTTCGAGACCCCCCCCCCCCCCCCCCCCCCCCCCCCCGCTTATTCAGCGGCTGGCTGAGTCGTTGCGAAATTTTGGGCCGATTTGAAAACCCTCCCCTTGAAAAAATCCTGCGTACGCCACTGTTTGTAATGCAAATTAGATATATATTTACACAGTAGGCTTTAGGGCTGCGACGTGTAAGTCGAATGCTAGAGTACCCGCACTGTTGACATCTACTAGAGTATGATTTCTTGTACTCGAATATTTGGCCGCAAAAAATAAAAAAATAAAAAAATCCCGGTCACCTGGCACTGTCCAAGTCGACGCTTACCCGTGCCAGGGAGAGCGCCGGCAGGCAGCATGGTATCGTGGGTAAAAATGTTTCCAGCTCAAGCACTGTCAAACTCACCACTCAGAAACTGGGACCAAATGTCCGGATTTCTGTTTGGACTCGTAGGTAAAGTCATCTTTGGTTTTTAAAACAGCATTGTTTAGTACAGTATTATTATTATTATTAAATCAGTGCCTTTAACTGCAACTCGAAGTAAAATAGTGCAAGTTTTAGGTCAACTACATATCGGGTGATTAAAAAAAATACAAATAATACAACCTCCATAGCATCTGGGATATGCAAAAGATACGCCAGAAAAATAACGATGTTTTTATGCCGTCACAATATGAACCAACCCTGCCCAAAGCAGACGACATCCCATAAAGAATGAACAAAATTGCAATGCTTTTATTTTCAATTTATAATGAGTTTAGTGTAAATAAATGTGATGGAATTTTACACCTTTCAAAAAGGGATGTGACCCCCATTCTGGTAACTAAATTCTTTTGTTTGTAAATACACAGGATAAGGGTTAGTGAACTATCAAAGAAACCACACTTTCAAATTAAAAAACCTCCGGAATGATAGCATGGACGTCATTTGTTCCCTCTTGAAACGCCGAACATTCCACGGTGTATGCAGCTGAAAATACAATGGCGTCTTACATGTATTTTGTTTACAAGCGACGGATTCCTTTTTCTTTCGTTTCCCGTGCATTTTTCATCAAAATAATACCATGCATTGGGTTTAGAGTGAGGCAATAGATTAAACATTTCGCCCGAGGATCTTGAAGTAAGAGAAATAACTGAAGAAAAGATGATAAATCAGGCACATCATGTTCAACATTTGATGTCATACATATCTCAGCAGCGACCGGAGAGCTTTTCAGGTGCTATGTCGGGGCTGTATCTAAGTGTTTTGTAATTGTTAATAATCATTACTTCAAATGTTTCCAAGCATTGGCTTTTGATAACCTTGGCCAATCAAAGTGCCACCTTTGCAATAATGACATTAAAGTTAGTTTTTTAAATCAATGAATCTTCTCTGTAAGTTTCCCTTTTCCCTTCCAATAGGCCATTTTCATAATGTTACCAAATGTAATGCATAAGTGTTTGTGAAGTGCCTCAATACAAATTATTTCGTTCTCCTGTTAGGAATAATAGTATTTCAATATTCAAAATGCAACTGCATATATTAAGTGTTGCTAAGTAGGTCAAGCCATTTATGTTTGTCCAACTTGGCAACAACTTATGTTGCAGTTCGGATTCTGTCTATTGAAATACTATTATTCTGATCAGGTGAATGAAATAATATGTATTGAGGCACTTCACAAAGACTTATGCATTAAATTTGGTTATATTACGAAAATGGCCTACCGGTATTCAATTCAAGTCAATAGATTCTGTATTGAAACATGTTTGAAAAAGAATAGATATACAATGAAGCAGAAAGGAAAGCATACCAAATTTAAAAAAGATGGCTTGCCAAAGGATTTTTTTTTTTTTTTATCTTGATAAGTTTTTTGGACGTCCACTTCGATGGAAAGACTGTAAAGAAAAGGATTTAAAATTCACTGAGTATTTTGTATTGCTGGATTGTTATAAAAAAATACCAGGAGCATGGAAGCATTCCTTTTTGCAGCAAAACTATCACCATCTCGTTTAAGATCTAAGAGATTTTCCTACTATTTTCTGTGATTCCGAATTCAAACAAATCCATTGACGAAGCAACTTTATCGTACTTTTCTAAGACTTAATAACACAGAAATTTCTAAAGTATTTACTCGCTTCAATGAGCTGTATAATATGAATGAGCAACAAGTGTCAAACCTATTCACTCTACCAGCAAATGTTACAATTGATTCCAGACTCCGAATTATGCACTTTAAAATTTTGCCAAAGGATTTGATGAACTTTGACTGATATAGGTTACTACATGTAGGAAATTAGTTACATAAGTATGATTAATGTTTTATTGATTTGTCAGATTTGAATATGAAATAAATCCTCTAATGAGGCAAAAATAGAAATAAAAGAACAACACATAAATATAAATGATTTTAACATAGACAGTACATGTAATACATTTTTTTTACGAAACTTGTTCTTGACGACAACTTGAAAGCTTGCCAGAGACTCGCCCAACATAGCAATATGTAATATGCAGACTTGATTTCAAGGATTGTAGTTCATTCTTTAATAATGGGTTAATGGAATACCTCTTCACTTAAAGTCTCCTGGAAAGAAATATCAACAAATGTGAATATGTTAATAAATCAGTCTATTGAATTGGGTAGAGATAAAATTAGAATTGGAAAGGGTGGTGGGAGAAAGAGATAGAGAACCATTGATGACTGCTGTTGACTATCACCAAACCGCCACTCTCCTCTCAGAGTCATTAAGCTGCCATTCTCCCTTCTAGATAGAGGAGACGACGTGAACAAAATTGATTAAGAGCAATGTCATCTCAATTCAATCATCATTTTGCAATTCCTGCGTACAGTGCACATGCAGCCTTACGCTTTTACAGTGTTTGTTTTGTATTATTGACTGTAGACGTTGCCTTGTGCCTTGTAATCAATAGGTTCTACGGAAATGGAAAGTCTACGCTTCTACATGTATGAAGATATGAAACCTGTCGCATAGTCCTTTCATATATACACTTTTGTAGATACATGACATGTTGTATGTACAGTCTGTGCCTTGGCATATAAATTTAATTTGTACCAAAATGGTAAAACCCACCAAAACGTACACAGGAAACTTGCTCTCGAATATTATGTAATCATAAATTCATGAGTTATGAGTTATGATTGCAAATTGCCAACAGGAAGAGGACGAATGATACATTTTCTGATTTTCCTTTTGTGAAGAGAAACTGATTTAAATTGAGATAAAATACACAGCTACAGTCACTCATACCTAAGGGTGACATTACTGGTACTAAAACGGGTGAATAAAATATGCTACAGTTTGTTATAATAATCTCATCAAGAATATTATTCTTCCTTGTTGGTATTTTACAACTGGTTAAAAAAGGTAGTTGTTTTAAGGTTGGTTTAATATTCTGATATATCTCCCACCACAAAAACGCCAACATCAGGGTGCTGCATGAGTGCATCGATCATCAATAGACCATTTTCTTAATGTAATCAAATTGAATGCATAAATCTTTGTTAAGTGTCTTGTTATACATGATTTAAATCACTTGTTACATATATATTTGTATTTCAATGGTCTGAATGAAGATTGCATCATTAATTGTACCTTGGTAGGACGTACATGTAAATGGTGTTACAAGGTCATGTACATGTAGGCCGAACAGGTTAATTAAATAATGGTAAGAGGCACTTAACAAAGATTTGTGCATTCATTTTGATTGCATTACGAAAATGGCCTATTGTAATGAAGTCTGTGTGGATAGATGCCAGTATTTATAGAGTCCCTGGGTGGTATTCTCATAAGTTAAGCCGGGACTAAGTCCAGACTAAACAAGAATTTTAGTTCACACTTCTATGGAATGCTAGCTTTCATCTTCCTCCTTCAATATTCATGACAAAGATAATCTACCAAAGACTTTGTTAAAATTCAGTTCATACTTATATTATCTTTTTCTTCCCAATTCATCGCAAAATTAATTTTTTGGACACTTTTTATTGAAGGATTAAAATAATCTGTACACAGTAAATGAGTTGGCAACTGACACTCCATAAAAGTGTGGACTAACTTAGCACGCGCTACTGGAATACCACCCCCTGTCATTATCAATGCAGTTGGGGTGGGGTCCTGGCACTATGAACATGACTGACAAAGAAAGCGGACAAAATATACAGTTCTTCAGGTAAACAAAGGAACATCCCTTCACTGCTATTACGTAAAAATGTGTAGAACAGGTGAATATGCATGTGACACCTGTTTTACACATTTTTACATAATAGCAATGAAGGGATGTTTCTTTGTCTACCTGAGGAACTGTATATTTTGTCCGCTTTCTTTGTCAGTCATATTCATAGTGTGGGTTACCGGTAGGTTCGATATCTCCCCAAATGGTTAGAGATATCTGAAAAGTGGCTGAAGAGTTATCATAAGGTTGGATGTGTACGCCCAGATATTTCACATACCGGTATTTTATTCTTCCTTTTGATAGTGGCTGGTGGATGTAGACCAAAACATGTACAGTATTGTTGTATCACTACTGTGTGCATTGTAAGGCTCCCATTCATTGAGTAATTTGAGAGTTAGTAGTTGAAGGAAGTAAATCCTTTCCAAAGCCATTGTGTGGCTTGGTGGTTAAGTGTTTAATCACTGAATAGAGTGTTATCAATAGATGAATACATTTAGGTCATCTTTAGAGCAGAGCATGCAAGCGCTTTACAAAACAAAAATAGCCACAGACTCATACCAAAAGATAGCCATATAAATAATTTCGTACATCACAATCCAAATAGCTTGGACCTGCCCACAAACGAAACCCCAGAAGAAACACCACTTCAAATAACATGAAGCATTTTAACTTTCACTACTTCCATACGAACAAAACCCATATTAGAAACAACATTTTGAATTACATGAAGCATTTTAACTTTCACTACTTCCATACAAACAAAACCCAGAAGAACAACACTTCAAATTCAAGGAAGCATTTATAATAACTTTCACTACTTTCATACCAACAAAACCTAGAAAAAACAACATTTTGAATCTCATCTCCCTGATTACATGAAGCAATAGCATTTTAAAGGGAACGTTTAACAATGTTAAATCTGAGATACTGTACACCGCCCTACCTGTTATCAGTGTCTGTGAAATGGTGTAATATTGAAGCCCTATAAAAATCGCGCATCAAAATGATCAAGAAGTGCCTCAAAAAAGTAAAAAATCTTTGAGTGACCAGTTTTACCATACTCGTTTTCCCCAAAAGACTTTAGTGTTATGAAAACCGTTTGGCAAACGGTTTTCAAACTTTGTAATTCCAATGATAAATATCTTGATAATCAAACAGGCGATCGGCTTGTAAAAGTCATGGGGTTCCTGACTGACCTAAAGGTTTATAATTATCATTGCAGCATGAGCTAAATCAAGAATTTTGTTTCAGAATCGGAGACAAAGTTACCGGATCCCTTTAACTATAGTATTATGCCTACATGTACATACATGTGTAATTGTAAAACAAAATATTCATCAACCAGGTGAATGAAGTTTTCTAATAAAAACCAAAAAAAGAAATCTGAGTGAATCAAGAAACTTCTAGTGAGCCACTGAGCCACATGTTCATGTACAGTACATTAGGGACAACTTTTACTACATGTAGGTGCAGTCATTGTAATCACTGTATACGTCAAGTTCATTGGCCTCTTTAATTGCCAGTCATTTTAATTATATTGCTTATGAAAATACATGAAAACCATTTATTTATAAGCACCATTTTGTATTGTGTTCATTTTCTATTTAATGTACTTAAATGTATACATGCACTTATGTCACATGCACTTTTTATTAATACTTTTACAATAAATGTAAACATGTTCATCTCAGCCCTTGAGCTGCCTACCATGTATATTTTTTGTCATTGAATGTTGAAATAAACCTTGAATTGAATGGAATTGAATTTAACACAGGTGGAAGTATTATTCTGTAGAGGGCAAACAAAAGGTCTTCATGAAGCACCTCTATCTCTTTGACAGTGATTATTCCAAAATCCACAATGTGTGATGTCTCCATGTGTGGGGAAAACTCTGTGAAAACTCTGTGATGACTGAATTTGGGAGTTCCAAATTGCATTTCTAGCAAAGCCCAAAAGTTTGTACATGTACTGTACATACTAACATGGTCAAAAGTAATTCTAAGACTTCATAATTTAACAATCACCCAGTTTCATGAGATTGTTTTGAGGTCCAAAACTATATGGACCCAACATTTCTAGCCATTTTGACCAGTGTAAAAAATACACGGGGGCTCAGGGCGATTTGCCCCCAAAATGCCCAAAAGAGCCCCCGTAAATTTGCATAGAGTTCAATGCAAAACAAATTTTAGAGTGTTATTTATATGCAGGCAAGTTTGAAAAGTAGCCCCCGAAAAATAAATATTAATTTTTTTTCCCTGATTTTGACTGGGTCAAGACTCAATTATTCAATTCAACCACAGAATCTTTTTCCAGTCGCCCAGTTTTGAGCTCCAAAATACATGGACCTGACATGACTTCTTCTTTGTTTTACCTCACAGGGACTCGCAACAGAATACCCGGCTGTGAAATTTGGTAAAGTGGATGTTGACGACGCATCGGTAAGTACATATGTAAACAATACAGGATTGAATGTAGATTTGGGGTTATTGCATTGCATGTGGGCCTGATATGTATTATACAGTCAAACCACCTACCTCTACAAAGACTACATTTTTTTGTTTCCCTTGAAAATTGTTTCTCATTAGAACATGTACTATACAAGGAACCTGTTTCCCTTGGGCATTTGCTATAGACAGGTTTTTACTGTAATTAGCAGTTTTGCAAATGAAACTTACCCGGTATAAGGAAACCTACTTCAGGCAGTGTTGCAACACGTGGGTGGGGTGACAAAACCTTGTATCTCAATTTTTTGAGAATTTGATTTTTTTGCATAATTTTGTACGACACCACCTGATAAATCCATGGAACGCCTCCTTCTCGTTTTTTTCACAAATTCCACACAAACACCCTTAAACTAAACCTCGTGACTTTAACCCCCTTTAAAGCTGCATTGACAAAACCTCGTAACATAAAGATATGTAATTCCTTTTCCTCGTTACTCACACAAGGCCTAACAGTACCGAAGTTAGTGTATACAAATTCTCGTAACTTATTCAACCAAATCCTCGTAACTCATTCAGAGTTGATAGTAAGAACTCTTATCTCAATTTGAATAAAAACTTAAAACTCGTATCTCAATGTAGATAAACGCAAAAACCTCATAACTCACTTTCAAATATAAAAACAATTATTTTACTGTATTTCAACAATGTCATTAAAAATTGTATAAATATTCCAGTTTTAAAAAGAAAGGACAGTGTCACAGCACTAAATTTGTTGAGACAGGAAAGTTTTTTCGCTCTCCTGAAAATTCATGATTTTTGAGATACGAGGTTTTGTCACCCCACCGACGAACGGTTACTTTAACTGAGGGTTATTAGTACTTTGGATTTGGACTTAGGGGAATCACCACAAACAGTGTAGTGTGTGTACAATCTTGCGTGCCACTGCTAGTTTGACGGCCTTACACTTACAGGAAATTGCAATCCCTAAGCTTCCCTTTGAGTCATGGTGCGCGTTTGTGGGAAGGGAAAGTCTATCATTTATTATTATTAATTTGGCAACATACATCAATATAAAACTATATATATATTCGTATGCAATGTACAGAAGAGAAGAAGAAAAAAAAGGATAGAAAACAACGGTTTTCCTCCCCAACCTAGCAAATAATGATAATAATAATGATAATAATCATAATGATCATAATAATTAATGCTTATTTTTCTCTTTTAATCCTTTTGCAGGAAGTATCAGAAGAGTGTGGCATCAGTGCGATGCCTACATTCCAGTTCTTTAAGAATGGGGAGAAAGTGAGTACATTACATCTTGTTACCCATTGAAGGGCAAGTTCACCTGGACAGTCAGTTAGACCCCGTTTACAGTGAGAAAATTGGGAGCCGGGGCAGGCCGCGCAATTGGCCGCGCATTTGGTGCGTTTACAGTGAGAAAAAGCCGGGCCAGGCCGCGGCCGAGACTACCTCCAGAGCAGGGCTAAATGCGCAGCCAGTTTGGCCTTGCATTTGGCCTTTAACGCGTTTACAGTGCGAGGCAAGGCCAGGCCGCGTCCGGCCCAGGCCACAGCCTGGCCCGGCCTTTTGCTCACTGTAACAGGGGTCAAAGAAGCAGAAAATGAGAGAACCAGATCACTGAAAGTTTGAGAGAAAGTGTGGTAGGGAGTTATGAATATTTCAAAATGAAAAAACAAACAAAATGGTTTCTTATAAGAATTTTTGTTTTTAAAGCAAAAATTTGTTATTTTCACGTTATTTTTGAAAGCAAATTTAATCCAAATCATTTATAGGGATAGGAGACCTCAAGGTGTTCAACTATAGTACATTGACCCCAAGTGTACTGAAAGGCAGCACTCCAAAGTGCCCCAATAGCACTGACGTCGTACAGTGTACAGACGTTATGTTCAAAGCACATATGTATCTGTACAGAAAATTTCATGAACTTTCAATTCCTTTGCTACTGATGACAAAATAGATTTGTTTCATACATATTTGCAATAATTATATTGAGGGTAAATGTATGACTGAACATTTTTTGTTAGTACAAGGCAAGTGGGAGGGGAGCTCGCAAGATACGTCACAGAGTTGCCAATACATTTATTTCTTATTTTTGATTGGTTTTTGGTCACACTATTACTGACCTGCTTCTCTCATTTTTCTGCTTCTATTAAAACCTACTTGGTAACATGATGGACTTCCCCTTTATCTGATATTGATTGTCCAATGAATCTTAGGCAAGGGGGTTTAATAGGATCAAAAGGGGTATTTTGCCCAGAAGGGGCTCAGGGGCAGCACCCTTTACATATATATATACTGTATACCGGTATGTAAAAGCCCAACCTACGAAATCAGAATGGTCCAATGATTATCGCATAATCAAAGCGAGACAGCCAAGGGCATTTTCCGTTTTTTTCCTCAAATTTTTAACTGTTATTTCATTTTCAAAATTGCCACAGAGTTTAGTAGTAAACCAAATGTCATGTACATTAAAAAATAAGGAAAACCATCGCATGATCTTCAATACTGATCATGATTTCCTTTGTTTGTCACTTTTGTACCGACTTTACAGGTAGCAGAAGTGAAAGGAGCAAGTGAAAAAGCACTGGTGGATGCCCTCAAGGAATTAATAAAATAGCTGAATTCTCGGCTGTAGACTGTGCTGCAAGGTTCCCTCTTCCCGCCTCTCACCTGTACCCATACACCACAATTCTCCACTATTCTCATCGACTGGGTCGACCCTCAGTCACCCGACGGCCGGCCGTGTAAAACCACTTTGATACGTGTGGCAGTGCCCCACCATGACTACTGAAGCAGCATACACGTAAACCATTGTCATTGCATGACTACGGTACACAACTAATAAACATAACAGCAGTTTCCTTATTTGCCATCACTCATCGACTGAGATGTAGTACATGTACGTGCACTTTGTCAACTATCATTATGGTTAACGCGATTGAACAACTTCTGAAAGGTCTGTGATCCAATCGTTACGTTACTTTGTACTTTCATTTATTTTCCTCCAAATTCTGTATCATATTTGATATTTCCCCCTCATATCTTGGACATGCTTTTATTGACTAGCATTTTGTCTTCTTCATTGTACACACACACGCGCACAAATACGAACAAACATGATTTTGCAAATAAAGAACAAGATTAAAGTGCCTTTTATGTTTTGATTGCCAAAATGGTTCGATGTTTATGAATTCTACCGACACATAACAAAGACGACTCCATGCCTGGCTCATGATGAAGACAAAGTTGAGATTTGAGATCAGTTTTTGATAAGAGTAGGACGATGTCACCTATGAATCAAGTCACATATTTGGCTTGCAATGATTTCAAAAGATAAGCATGAAAGGGATTATTATTATGTTCCGTACCGATTGGGTGTGCAGCCATTTCAATGATAAGTGCCGCTGTAAATGATCGAGCAAGTTAAAGTGAATTACCTCGCGGTGTGTTCTGTTCATGATTAAATAAGGAAATGACCTTGAATCCAGTTCATTGAATACACATTAATACTCCTTTCTATTTTTGACTTGTTTCTGTCATGCATGTCGATTTCTATGTGAATTATACAGCATTTCTGACTTTTTTAATGTGAATCAAATCCCCACTTTCTAATGCCACTCTCATGTAGAAGTGGAAAGCAGCACTAAAAAAATCTACAGGGGAAGAAAAACAGCATTATATAATCATTTATGCTCATAGTCAATTATCCAATTCTCTCTAAGTACATGTAGGTCCTATCTCTTTTACATGATGAATGTTTGATTTTTTTCATGAAAGAGGTATCTATTCGAATATGTATCAATTGCATACATGTCATGTGCATACATGTATATACATGTATGCTGTGTGAAATCGCAAGAAAAAGAACAAGCTGACATACAGCTGACGTATGCATAAAACGCAATTGATAAAGAGGCCTTTGTGTTCTAATGTGTTTTTTTCAGGAATCATGATTTGTTTTTCATACCTAATCAATACCTTCTTTGCGAATCGAAAGTCAAATTGCAATTTCAAATCATCGGCCAAATTCTATATTCCTTTTTTTATACTTTTTGGGGAAAAAAATATTTTGTCTTTTTGAATTTTCTTTTGTAAATGATTTGTGTGTATTTCACTAATCATCTAGATAAATTGATTTTGATGTGAATGTAATAAATTAGATTATTTCTAACATACTCTTTATGTATCTCGGTGTTGTTTCATGTACATGTAACTTCATCATTGATTAAGATAACTTGTGCCATCTAGATGGTGCAAGACCAAACTAATGAATACAAGTAGTTTTCTTCAGATAATGCAAAATTTGAAATATAACAGAACAAAAACAAACAAAAAAGGAAGAGAGAGGGGAAGGGGGAGAGAGAGATAGGGGGAAGAGAGGGGGGAGAGAGAGAGAGAGAGAGAGGGAGGGAGAGAGAGAGGAAGGAAGAGAGAGAGAGAGAGGGAGAGAGAGAAAGGAATATTTCAGGTGGGGGGGGGGGGGGGCTGTCAAATTATTGCTGTACACATACATGCGCAACCCCCAAAATGATGGTTAATTGTCGTCAAATAGGTCAAGAAAAAGCGTGAAAAAACTAGCAAAGTATGTGACTTTGACCAATTGATTGTTTAGGTTTTTGGGGAACAACTGTGGTCACGCATACATGTGTACAGCAATTTATTTGACTGCCCCCCCCCCCTTTCCCCCTGGTATGTAACTTACAATGCAGATAATTGTAATAATAAATATTTTGCACTCTCCAATAATAACAAACAGAATCTAGAAAATTGTAGTTTGACATATATTTCACTATAAATCTTTTATTCCATTTACAAGTGCAAAACATTATTGTTCTATGGATACTGGTGTTCAAGTGGATCAGACGTACAATTTTTTTTCAAAAATTACCACAAAAATATCAATCTACTGCTTCTACATGTACTGTGTATGCACCTTTGATCATAATGATGAAACATAATACTATTGGATTAAGGTGGTCCATAACTTGATACCTCATCATGAATGATGTACATTAAAGATATGATTATGAGTTTTTTATCTGGAAAAGAGGAAAATTTATTTGTGAGATTTCCTATTTGTCTTGTGTCGGTGTGAAAAGGATTGCTCTTCAAATACTTCATATTTGAAACGTTACAATAAACTGCAGAAATGTTTGGACTAAACTTTCATGTCACATTGTTTGTATAGTCTCATGAACACATTTTTGTGTACAGCTCATTTGACTTAAATACAGCAAGACTGATAGCGAGCCAATCTCCTATCATTTTGATTCCAAAGCCCTGCAATGTACACCTAATTTGTATTGCATAATCAACCTATTCTAATTGTTTCTTTCACATTGCAATGGCATGACCAGGGATCTATTTCATAAACCTCAATCAAACTGTTAAAGGCTACAGGGCCTACAACTTGTGCACCGTAAAGAAGAACCACCCTTTGGCACAACAATTCAATAATGATATATAATAACATACAATGCACATGGACTACTACTACTATATATTATATACCGGTATACACTTTTTAAAGGTAAAGACCAGTATTGGAAACGCTCCAATTTCAAAAAATGAAATGGAAGCTCTCATTACCAATCATGTGAAAGAATATGTTTTGACTAATACATGATGATAAAAAATTTGCCGGGAACCGCCTACTAATTCATATATTTGGTAAATTTGTTTCTCTCATGGTCTGTGAGAGATATCGGGTAGTCCCATATACATCTTTCTGTGTATAGTGCTTGTAACTTTACGAAGAATGGGCCAAATTTCTTATCATTTTGATGATTCCAGAACCTTGCAGATGCTAGATGCTAGATGATCAACCTTTTCTGATCGATTCCACAACGTTTCTTTCACATTGCAATCGCATGACCATAACCGGTCTTTACCTTTAAGTTCTTTGTGAACCCAATATACAGTGAATTGTCTGTTCAGAGACAGATCGAGGTTGTTGGAGATGAAGAGTTAAAGTAGGACAGCTTTCTAGCTCTTAGAAGGTGTATGAAACACAACCTGTCTATAAAGACCACAATATCTGATTCCCATCTTATCAAATTCTCAATTAAATCATACATCAAAAGAACCTGAAAAAAGACCACCTGTCTATAAAGACCACCATACAAATATCTGATTCTCATTAATCAAATTTATAATTAAATCAGACATAAACAACCCTAGCTGAAATAGACCACCTGTCTATAAAGACCACAATATCTGATTCCCATCTAATCAAATTTTCAATTAAATCATACATCAAAAGAACCTGAAAAAAGACCACCTGTTTATAAAAGACCACCATTCAAATATCTGATTCCCATTAATCAAATTTATAATTAAATCAGACATTAACAACCCTAGCTGAAATAGACCACCTGTCTATAAAGACCACAATATCTGATTCCAATCTAATAAAATTTTCAATTAAATCATACATCAAAAGAACCTGAAAAAGACCACCTGTCTATAAAGACCACCATTCAAATATCTGATTCCCATTAATCAAATTTATAATTAAATCAGACATAAAAAACCCTGAAAAAGACCACCTGTTTATAAAGACCACTTTCTTGTTTCCTTTGAGCGATCTTTGCATACAGGTTTCAATGGACACTTCAAACAATGAAGTACCTCTTAATATAATTTTCCATCATAAACAAAGTGCCATAGAAGGTTCATAGTTTTCATCCAAACTTTTACAATTGGCTTTATTATCACTAATTTTGTGTTTGTCATTGGTACCCCCTCCCCCGAGAGTGGCTTTGTGCATTCAATACCCCCTGAATAATGTGATATACCTTCAACTTTGTGAGCTAATTGTTCATTATACTGCCCACAAAAATACAAAAAACAGTTCATTTGAAATTTTTAAAGTCCTGACATTGAGATCCAGCAAATGTACATTTTGATAAATAAAGCCTGCATGTGCACTTCAACTATGCATCATTCAATGTGAACACTAAAAATGGCACAATCTGCAATTAAATCTCTCTACACCCACGTACATGTACATGGTTTATTACCCTAGCTGTGAATACAACTCTACATGTACATACAATGTAGCTAGCCCGGTGACGAGGCAAAATAATCAGGAAATATTGCATAACACACATAGCTCAAAGAATCAACTGAATTGAAGTCGGCGTACTATGCATATACCTGTATCCTACAGGAAATTGTTGAGTAATTGGTTTTGATTTCCTCATTGGTAATTCTTCTCTGGTATGGAGATTTTGTTTAAAGGGCACAGCTAATGGCTTGGTTTGGTTTTTATCAACTTGGTAAATAAAATTAAGTGTGACTACACATGTATGGGGGGGGGGGGGGAGGAGGGTTGCTATAAAGCACTTTGGCATTTTATTCGCTTGGCACATAAACACATGTATATGAGGTGCTAGCTCTGTGGCATTTTACTCGCTTGCATGTACCAGAGCACACCAAAATAAAAGAGGAGGGGGTCATCTTAAAGGACAGCTCAGGATTCTGTTGAGAGGATCGAGGCATTCAAAGAAATCACTGAAAAGCTATTTTAAAAAAGAAGCGAAAAAGGGGAAAAAGGTGCGATGACTCGACTTGTCTTTTAAACCACACAGTTGGCACTGAGGATACGTTTTCCTTTTTAATCAATATAAAGGAAATGAAAGTAAAATTGTATCGGTGTTCTTTATTTCACTGCCAAAAGCACATTAAGCTACAAACATCCTGTTTAAAGGTCCATTTCAGGGTTTTTAAATACCTCTTGAAAAAATCTATCCACAAGTTCTTGGAAGCTAGGATGTGGGGTTTGTGAGATTGTGGCATAATAGTAAAAATAATAATAGGCATTTTTATTGCACCAGTTATCTAGAATTTCTATTCTGAGGCACACAAGGAAAAACAGAGATAATAAATGAGGGTAAAAATAAGTGCCACATACTCGTGTCAAGCATTGGAAAACGTTAGAGGATTTATGTTAAATCAGCTGTCTAGTTATGATAATATATCACTTCATTGTGATTTGTACCATCGTAGGATGATTTTTTAATTTCTTCTTCTTATAAAAGTGGGTTTACATTTATTTAACATTGATCATATTCATTGTATATTCATAATGGTCAAGTACTGACATGGCATTGACTGTCGAGCGTGCAAAAGCAATTAAGATCTACGCATTTATATCATATACAGCAATAAAGCACAGCGCATTAAGTGATCCTAAGCAAATACAATTAGCCTAGAGATGCGCATATCATTTGGATTGCACTCATATACACCAATGACAAACTGCATATGGTCACTCAGTACTGCAGTATTGTATTACATGCTAGATTTCACTGTTCCAATTCATCAAGGTCGATGATAAAATAAATTTCTAATATCTGATTGCATTCATCTTCTACTAAAAAAACCAATCAATTATACCTTGCAGTAGCAGACGAGGTGAAAAGCCATTAGATACAGTTTATTTAGCTGCCTAGCTACCCCACCTCCAAATAGCAATTTCAAAGTGCAAAGGTCTATTCTTGTGTGTTTTGTACGTTGGTGTGTGAGTGTGTGTGTGTGTGCGTGCATGTAAGATATATTGTGAGAGATACAGATAAATATATATATATATATATATATATATATACAGCAAGAGAGAGAGAGAAAAAAAGAGAGCGAAAGAGAGAGAGAGAAAGAAAAAAAAAGAGCAAGAGAAAAAGAGAGAGAGAGAGAGAGAGAAAGAAAAAAAAGAGCGAGTTGAGAGAAAGAGAGAGAGAGAAAGAGAAAAAAGAGAGAGAGAAAAAGAGAGAAAGAGAGAAGAGAAGAGAGAGAAAGAGAGGAGAGAAAGAGAGAGAGAGAGAGAGAAAGAGAGAGAGAGAGAGAAGAGAAAGAGCAAGAGAGAAAGAGAGAGAGAGAGAAAGAGAGGGAAAAAAAGAGCGAGAGAGAAAAAGAGAAAGAGAGAAAAATAAGAGCAAGAGAGAGAGAGAGAGAGAGAGAGAAGAAAGAGAGAGAAAGAGAGAGGAGAGAAAGAGAGAGAGAAAGAGAGAGAGAGGAGAGAGAGAGAGGAGAGAAAGAAAGAAAAAAAGCAAGAGAGAGAGAGAGAGAGAGAGAAGAGAAGAGGAAGAGAGAGAAAGAAAGAGAAAGAGAGAGGAGAGAAAGAGAGAGAGAGAGAGAGAGAGAGGTGGGGGGGGGGGGGGGAGGCCTAGCTCATTCATAAGATGAATTACTTTTTACTGATTACAAAATCCCATCCACTATAATATATGCCATACTACAGGGCTGATGAATATTGCACTATCCAGAATGATATACCGGTATTGAAGGTCTCCCTAGCACTAATTAAAAAAAAAGCGCTAAAATATGGCTACATGTAACTTGCACTTGGATCAATACTTCATGCAGACTAGTGGATCCAATACCACACAAATTTGTTTTTGTCATTTTAAATAAAGAATACCTGTTGTCGTTATAAATTTCATCATAATTACATTGTAAAATATCAATGTAAAAATATCATTGTTCAAGCAATATATTCCAAATGGGGGGGATATTCAGACTTTGGCCTCAAGAGGGGCAAAACATTTCAGCTAACTGTGATCAAATATAGGTTGAGGAAACAATATGACATGCTTATATAGAACCCTGTTTTGGATATTACAGCTATGGCTGGGTGGAATTGTCTAAAGTCAACCAAGCCTTTTGAATTGTTTTCAATATTTTGTGCATTTATACATGCATTGATTTATGACTGTGATTCCCTAGACTGCTATATAAAATTAAAGTACAAAATGTAGCTGCAATTCCCCCCCCCCTAATTTTGTTGGAAATCTCTAAGGAGGGACAAAATGCCCCCTAGCTTGCCCCTCTATAAAATATGCTAAGGGAGGGGGAGGGGGAGGGGGAGGGGGAGGGGGAGAGACTTGAGGCAGGTGGTCCTTGACCCGTTTCATTCTACTTTTCACTGAACTTGTAGCTACCTCAGAACCTCAGTGCCATTTAGAAATACATCACTACAGTGTAGACTTGTAGTAGTCTACTGCCCTCTGAAGGTGAAATACCATACAGCTGAAAGCAGTATTGCAAGCTCATTTTAAATACTCCAATTTGAATTATATTTCACGTTTCCTCAATTAAACTTTTAAAAATCAACAAATATTTCAAATGAATAACATCAAGGTTCTGTTTCAAGGTTTTCCTTTAAAAAATGAAGAGTTTACAATTGATTGCACATACACCAATGAAGCACTAGTCTACATATTCAAAACTGTGCAAGAGAAGGCTGACATATATATACACTGGTACAACAATATTTTTTCATCAAAACACTGCTGTAAAACCAGAATTTTCACTTCATTGAACCTTTCACGAGTGGTTCAGACTAAGGAAATGATGATGCCACCAAATAAATGAATTAACAATTCTGATCATGCCTGAACTTTTCAATCCACACAATTGACGCTGGCATTCATTAACAATTCTCAAAAGTTTCTGCTTTTATATTATCACACAAGTACACAACTATTCTGTCCAAAATTGTTATTAAAAAAAGAGGATTCTACTCAAGACAATTGTGATTAATGCAATTAATACAAACAGAAACAGCATACCCTAAGTATCATCTGATATGCTTTTGAAAATTCATGAATAAACGTTAAATTGTGAATAAATTAAAAAAAAAAAAAATAATAATAGTTAGGTCCCTTTCCTTTATCCTTCCTCAGAAGTAAACAGCACCAACTTGGAAAAGAGATTGTACAACTGAGATACATAGTCCAAGACCCTTTGCAGTATTAGGTCTAGGACCAACATATTATACATCTGTAGACCTTGAACATTACTTGCTCTAAAAGGAACAGTTCTAGAGGTACTTTTTTCTAGAAATGCGACTGCAAAGTGAACTTGTCATTCTCCCGCCTATTTGCCATTATGTTATTAACTATTCAAACAAAGGAAATATGCTTTAAAGCATCTTTTACTTTACATTTTAAAAATTGGTATAAGTTCTGATAAATAAATTCCGTCACTAGTACAGCATGATCATGAATCTAAGGGTGCGTTTAATCGACACTTTTTCACCCTAGAATCACGGTTTTCAAAGACATTTAGTTTAAAACGCAATTCGTTCAAGCGATTTTTTCGTCGGTCGTAAAAATAAACGTGTTTGAAAACACAAACATGAAACGCTGAAAAAGATGCGTTTTGTATCATGATTCTGCAGAATCACGGTCGCTAAAATTCGATTGAACGAACGTAGTCTCAATCATGATTCTATCGTGGCCTGTTCCGGTTTGGGCAAAAACCGCGCGCCTGCTTTTCATGCAATTTGTGTTCACCATACCATGCTCTTTATCGAGGCTTGTTCCGTTATGTTATTCTTTGTTTTAAGCATTTTATCGACTTTCTCTTCCTGTCTTTCCTTATGTTATTCTTTGTTTCTTCCTTCTATTCTTATCTTATTCTTTGTTTTTTTCCTTCTATCACCTTCTTTTATGTTATTCTTTGTTTTTTATAATTCTATCACTTTCTCTTTTGTTATTCTTTGTTTCTTCCTTCTATTCTTATGTTATTCTTTGTTTTTTCCTTCTATCACCTTTTATTATGTTATCTTTTGTTTTAAGCATTCTATTGACTTTCTCTTTCTGTCTTTCCTTATGTTATTCTTTGTTTCTTCCTTCTATTCTTATGTTATTCTTTGTTTTTTCCTTCTATCACCTTCTCTTATGTTATTCTTTGTTTTAAGCATTCTATCGACTATCTCTTTCTGTCTTTCCTTATGTTATTCTTTGTTTTTTCCTTCTATTCTTATGTTATTCTTTTTTTTTTCCTTCTATCACCTTCTCTTATGTTATTCTTTGTTTTAATCATTCTATCACTTTCTTTTATGTTATTCTTTGTTTTAATCATTCTATCACTTTTTCTTTCTGTCTTTCCTTATGTTATTCTTTGTTTCTTCCTTCTATCACCTTCTCATTCTTTGTTTTATTATTGCGATCTATGCTCAAAACAGCAGTCGACAGTCGGCCGTAAACAATTCCAGAAAGCGCGTGCCAAGATTGACCTATACTTCCTGTGGGTCAAACTGCGGAGTGTGATGGCAGTGACTGGGCTCGAAATGAGCTAGAATCAGCGTTGATGAAAAATCGCTTGAACGCAAACCGCAGTGACCTTGTTTTTTGTAACAGCGTTTTGATTTGTGATTCATGTTTGTGATTCTAGCTTTGAAAATTCGATTGAACGCACCCTTATACATAGCTCCTAAAACTATGTACATCACTAAAGTCCAAGCAATCATTTCTATCATCCATAAATTGGTGTGAAATAAAAGGATACCGTATTGGCGTTTACAAAGAAAAAAAAAGCAGAAAATATCCACTACAATGTAGATTGGTGCAAACAATATTGACTTACAATACCAGTCAGGAGAGACAGCCACTTTTGGAGGACAATACAAGTCCTCTGATAACAAGACATCTTCTGTATGATTGAACATGTGTGACATTTGAGACATGCCGATCACTCTGCTGTTGCACTCTGTGCAGAAGTGTGACGCATATAACTTCCATCTTTATCACATATTGATACTAAAAATCCTCATGGTATATCAACAATGAAAACCTGTGACCAAAACATTGACCCACATACAAACAAACAGCAAAATATAGTACATATTTCTAAGGGATTATTTCATATGACTAAAAAAGAAAAAGAAAATGAGTCATATCGAACTAGTCACTGCCGTAGGGTTTCTACATGCGTGCTGCGGCAGGCAGGGTGGCACAAACATTGTGCAAATTCACTGGTGCAGAACTACTGTACTATCCCTCTAACGGAGGACATCAACTGTCCTCCAATAACAACCCTTGATCTCTGACTGCAGACTAGAAAAATAAGTTCACTTACATAACCTTCACGTCTCACATACAATATCTAGAACTAATAATCAGCTGTAAAGCATCAATTTCACTTGTATTTTGCGATGTATTCTCTCAGTCTTCCTTTATTTCCTCCAGAGAACTGGTATATCTAAGAGAGAGAGAGCCAAACGAGAAACAAGGAAAAGCAAAAACAATGAGTTAAAATCAATAAAAAGCAATAAACAGTGATATTCAATAAATGAGATATAAATGAAATATAATCAGGTGCAAACTAGATAACAGAATGACAATGAATTATGATCAGGCAAGTATTTTCATGGTTCACTTTTGTATTACTCATCTGGATAAAAAAGGTGGTTCTTTGTACATAATACTAACCTTCTAAATCAGTGGGCATTTTCATAATCTGAAGACCAAAGACAAATCTTTCTTTATAAGCTTTTTTGATACGAGGCGTTATTTGTGTGTTGTTGGACAGTGTCATTAACTGGTAGGGTCTTTGCACACTATGTAAGAGTGATGTAGAAAAAGTGATTGTGAAATTAATAGTTCTATACAATTCTGCTTTCAATAACTGGAGTAAAGGTTAATTGCCTTCATAGGCTCGCTTTATAGCAATTGTAATAACGTATTTAATTTATTAAAATAAGGATTACAGGCATTAGCCTACTGCAGTCTCAGATATATTATTAGAATCTGGGTTGTGAAAACTCTACAGAACAGTACGGGGGGGATTTTCTCTTTTTTCAATTTTTTAATTTGTATAAATTCATTTTCTTTTCTTTTCACAGAACATTAGAGTAAAGAGACACCCACAACGTTTGAGAACTTTCTTTTTCTGCTTGTCAAAGAACTTTGGGAAGATTGCCGGTGCCCCCTCTTTTACAAAATTCTGGACATGCCCATAATCATACTTTACCTTTGATTCCCCTCTGAAGAAGCAGAATGTCGGCATACATTGGACTTCACATTCTTCTGCTATTTCCTGTAAAATTGAATTTGAACAAATTTAAAAACATTTTAATATCACAAACCATTCCAAAATACAAACAAACCAGCTTTAGTGACAACCTGTTAACAAAAACCACATGTCTACAAAGACCACTTGTCTTCAAAGACAACTTTTTTTTTGTTTCCCTTGGGCGGTCGCTATAGACAGGGTTTGAACTCTACAAGATTCAGACGTGTATTCAAAGTGATCCCAATATTAAGCCGATTTGCCTCAAAATAACAAATGATGGAAACCAATTTTATTTGGACACAATCCTAAAAAGGATGATCAAACAGTGAAGTATAAAAGTTCGCATCAAACAAACGCCGTTTTGCTAAAGTATCACTGGCGTTTCAAGCAGTTCTCGAGTGGTTTTTGCATTAAAAGAACCTTTAGTTTCAATATCTTCAGATGTTCTTTACTTTGATTTGTAAATATCCTACCTATAGATAATTTTGAGAAGCATATTTTATTGTCAATATCCTGGAGGGGGGGACTCAGATTTGGTTTGGACGGATGTGCGCCGCTCAAGCCTCAAAACCCCTACCTATTATTAGGGGCCATTTGGGGGGCAAACACCTGAACATTTCGAAAAAACACAAAATATTTAAAACAAAATTGTAAGGCAAATGTAGGAAATAAATCAAAGTATTATGACGAACCCGAACTCTAATCCTCACCCTTACCCCATACCTGCCAACATTTGAAAATGAGAATTGAGAATTTTTAGCACGGTATGTCTTCGAAAATAAGAAATCGGTACCCTTAACAGGCATTTGCACATGCAGCGGCAGTGTAACTGGCAATACGCGGTAAATCTGTGCAAAAAAGTGAATACAAATTCGCTGCTCAATCATGCAGCCCTTCAATGCACGCAATACGTGAACTCTCACATCGCGGCATATGATAAAACAAGCTTAATTTGGCTTAAGCAACAACAACAAAAAATAAAAAAAATTAAAATAAAATAAAATAAGAATAAAAAATAAATTTTGAAAAAACAGAATATTCCAGATTTTGGGGTCCTAAAATCATTTTTTTATTCGGAAGGGTTGGCAGGTATGTTACCCTGTCCTTGAAACAAACACAAAAGCCAATTATTTCCCTAATCCTAACTTTATTTGTATTTCTTTGACAAAATAGAGCCAAGAGCAGATATATATATATACTTACTGACGCTTCGTCTACATCAGCTTTACAGAAAACTACGTTGGAGGCTATTTCAGGATCTTTTGAAAGAGTCTACAAAAATAAACAATCAATATAAAAGCAAACTAATAATGATAATATCTTTGGTATGTATAAAGCACATTTATACATTGACAACGTTTCCAAGTAAACACCCTGGTCATCTGATTGAAGCTTGCTTAATGTTAAACACAATATATGCACAATCTCCACTTTCTGGGGGAGCATTCCAGCCAGGCGCCGTTTTACAGAGCTAGCATCTGTAAAATGCTGGGTAAAATACGATGACTTCCACATTCTACCAGGTACCTATTTAACACCTGGGTGGAGAGTGGCAAATGAGGATTAATCTCCTGCCAAATGACGTCAGTGCCGGGCTGAGATTTGAACCCTCAAACCTTGGATTGAGAGTCAAGTGAATAAACCACTATACCTGGACACCTTCAAAAAATGTAATCTATAGAAAGTCAATAAAAACAATGTATTTACTTATCAATGCAGACTATAAATAAAAATCACAATGACATTACTACTCAACTTTTGATAAAAACATACACTCATTGTAATGAAAGATATTAAAGAATGATTGGATCAGAGGTGGTGGGATCTATACTTTACAGAGTGCATAAAAAAGGGTATACCTTTCTTTCCAAGTATTCACCATTATCTTAATATTGCAATGTATAATGAAATCAGTTAGCCATGTTTGCTACATCATACTTATGCCATACAAAATTATATAATTTGTATAAATCCCTTTGCTACATGTGTGTTGATGCTGATGATGAAAATTGTATCTTCTTTATTGCCGAGTTAAAATAAGGTCGTTTTGATTTCTATTCTACTTTCACATAATGTGATTAAAAGGGTAAGCCTTTTAAAAGGGCAACCTTCGAATAACTTCATTTGTGTGAAAGCTAAATAAAGGAGAAACAGAATTGTCAAAGTTAGAAAATAAATTTTAGCAAATGTTAAGAAAGTTATGAATATTTGAAATAAGCAAGAGTCTATGCCCACATCGAATTGGCAATATAGTCACTGGATTGTGTTGTATTCTGGGTCAATACTCCCGTTTGTCACATACTTAGAAATGCAATTAACTTCTGATTCCCCCTTTAAATATAAGAGTTAGATTACCATTATTGAAAGGTAAATAAAACAAGAAAAGGACAGCATGTTTTTCTTACTTCAAACTCCGGCGAGATGGATCGGCATGGTCCGCACCAAGTGGCGCTGAAGTATATAACAACCAGCTTGTCCCCAGACGTGGAAAGTATACTGTCAAAATCTTGCTGAAAAATGAGAATAAGGAGAGAATGCTATAGTAAATCAAAAAGTATTGTAGAGGTATCATTAAAAAGGCAATTACGAAATCCAAGACAGATCGATCTACATCAAATGTGATATTATGTGACCATGGGGAGAAAAGTTCTAAGAAAATCACTACCCAAGCAGAAAGAAAATGAATGAATGAATGAACGATTGAATGAATACATAAGTAAATATATAAATAATTAACTTACTAATCAAACAAGAATACTACTACTTCTACTCCTACTGCTACTACTATCAATAATATTTATAATGATAATAATAATAATATTAAAAATAAATGCAATACTTTGAAATTATGTTGTAAATTACAATAAAAAAGGTGGATCAAAGGTACACCTTGCCTAGTCAATGCCATTAGAACAACAATGGAAAATTGGAGGCCCTTAAGCTTCTCACATAAATACAAAATTGAGCGGCCTACCTCACCCCCCCCCCCCCCCCCCCCCTCTCTTTTTCCTGCCAGAGTAATCTGGATCCACCCGAGCGCAATGTTGGTTAAAAACATTGCTTACAGGAAAGGCAATCCTCCTAATCCTCAAGATGATCTGCTTGAGATGGAGTAGCACTGTAATAGCGCCATCTACTGCTATAAGACAGTGTAACATTGCTCAGGTTCTTGAAGTGTATGATCATAACCAGAGAGAAAATAATAGGGCCTACATGTATACACCATACAATTTTTCTTACATCTGCATACATAAGTTTAAAAAAAAAGATTTGTTTATTTTATTGAAGGTCTACTTCAGATTAATGTACTGCTTTGGAGATATACAAACACAAACAAAAAGAAATATCTACTACCTAATAAATCTATTTACAAAATACATTCAAATGAAAATGGAAGACAGCTTTTTCCTTGTCACATACAAAAGAGGGTAGTTGAAGAGCCATATATTCAAGGGACCTCTTCAGAGAGCTAGACCCTAATAATGTTTGTCATGGAATTGCCAATTTCCATTTGATTAATTACAACTATTAAATTGAGAATTTTCTCAGTTTTTATACGGTCTTTCTCAAAAATTCACTGATTCGCTTCTCTGCTTTCGTTATTAAAACAAACTTCATATCAGGGTGAATTTCCCCTTTGAAAATGCTAAATAGTGCCTTCAAAAAATGTTTAGCATGCATTACAATGCATGTATTCTTTAGCCAGGAACCATCTGAATGCTTTAATAAGGTTCGTTCACATACACCTCCATAATCCACAACGGATTCATAGCACGTACCCTTGCCAAGTTTTGCAATTGTTTTAGTGTGTGAAAATGATTTAACCAGATTGATATTTCTTGATAATGTGACATATTAAAGTTGCTCATGTATGGGTATATAGAGGGCAGCACAAGGATGGTCGTACGGGAGCGTAATACCCGTTGGTTCAGATTGCCAAGTTGCCTACTTCACGAACGACTATATACCCATGCATAAACATCTTTAAAGCTTACATCTAAATGTATTCAACGCAATAATTCAACCAGTTCACCTATCATTCTTGAGTTACAAAAAGCGCAAAAAAAAAAATCAAATTCTCAAAGGTATGAATGATTTAGTGGTTAACTGTACTGTACTGGTATTTAAAATATGAAGTGCAGTAAGCTTAGCTAGCTGAAACCACAGCTCCCTGCATATTACACTGTGGAATATGCAAACAAACCTTTAGATCACTTATATTAGTAGAGCACACAGGCTTTTATGAGCAGTGACCCAGTTATTAATACTCCAAAGGCAAATTATAACCCACCCTGAAGCAAGCTCAAAATGAATAAAAGAGTGCCGTTAACCGACCTGATGCTGGGAGTGAACGGTATGAGAGCTAACATCTTGCAGTGTGGATTACAGTGTAAAAAGGGTAGCATGCATTAGAGCCATTCAATGAAACGTTTCACGTAAAACACAATGACTTTTGATATCCCTTTATTTCATTCAGAAGTGAAAAAATATATTCAAGATTCAAGATTCAAGATAATTTATTGTCTGATTTAAAAAAATACAGAAATTCGTCCTCCACTGGCGAGTGACGTACATATATACAAACAACATAAACAATATATAAATACATTCGAGGAAACAAAGAAAAATACAACAATAATAATAATAACAATAATAGTAATATATATCTATTATCAATATATATTGATAATAGATATATTGTGGTTTGAGTTAAGTCGCGTTATGATGATATATAAATGCGTTCATAACTTAGCACCCTCTTACCTTCAGGTAGGCTTAATCAATCCTAATGATGTACATGAGCATCATACAAGGCAAATAGACAGTGGATGTTTACGTGTGCCTAGATTTCACACTGATTGTTATAAGTGTAGCCCAATTGTTTCTTCCATATTTGAATGGAATAAGCTAGATAATTCGTTGAGAACGGCTTCCTCTGTCAATTCATTTAAGAGATTGTTTAAACAAAGTTGTAATTTGTGAATGGCTCAGCCGTACATACACTACGTGCATGTTCTGTAATATTTACATGTCTTATTCACATAATTGCGACTTAATTAATATTTTCCTATTGACATTACTGCTTACTAGGTTAATGATATATGTTAATTTTGCAAACGAGTATTATTTTTGTGACTGTTCTGTATAAATGTTATAAACGATGTAAATATGTTCATTCAGGGCCCCATGGAAGACCACTACTTGCTGGTGAATGGGCTACCCTGTCAAAAGATCAGAAATAAATAAATAAATAAATAAATAAATTGATCTAATGGCTGAGAAACTTTCAAATGAGATACAACAATTTGTCATACCTGCACGATGCCACGATCGTGCTATATAACAAACTTTCTTTGCACGGTATATTGCATGCAAAGGAGTATTATGCCGTACACCATACTTCCCTGCATGTGCCCTTGTTTGCATTTTAATAGCCAAACACATTTTTAAGGCTTCATGAAACTCAATAAGAAAGATGTCGACTCATGAAAAAATGAGGCATGAGATCGCAAATACCCTTGAATGCACATCGTCCATCAATATCACATAATTATATTCATCTCCATGTTCAGAATTTCCCTTGTGAATTTTTCTTGCGGGCTTGGCAGAAGCGGATCTAGAGGGGGGGTTGGGGGGGTTGCAACCCCCCCCCCCCAAAAAAAAAAATCCGGGGACCATTTTTTAAAATCTTATCTTTTTTTTTAAACTTGTAATTTTATTTTATTCTATTTCTATGTATTTATTTCATTTATTATTATTATTATTATTATTATTATTATTATTATTTCTTTTTGGGGGGAGGGGGGGGGGGGGGTTGGGCGAACAAATGTCACAGAGTCCCTTGCCAGGCGCGGATCTACGGGGGGGTTAAGGGGGTTTAAACCCCCCCTTGGGCGGCCCAAAAAAAACAAACAAAAAAAAAGGGGGAAAAAAAAGAAAAAAAAAGAAAGAAAAAAGAACGCACGCTGGAGAGAAACCCTTTCAAGTGCAAATATTGTGAGAAGATATTCAACTCATCTGGTAACTTAACCAAACACATGATAACTCTGGATATAACTGTGTATTTAACTGTTACTTGATTTAAAAAGACGTTATCATGCACTGCTTTTTATGGTCTCCATTGTGTTAATAGATGCCAGGAAAACATCACTTACGGGGTTCAAATAAACCCCCCCCAAAAAAATCGGCTCGCCGCTTTGCGGCTCGTGGACGATGCTCCGCATCGTCATTATTTTGGTCAACCCCCCCCTTAGCAAAAAGCTAGATCCGCCCCTGCTTGGTGATAAATAACTTCACTCTGAGAAATTCTAAATTTGTTGGTTCTTGTATTTTGTAATATTGAACTCTGGAGCGTTTAATATTTCCTTTATTTATAATACATCAGTACAAATACCTCTTCTATGAAATGAGAAACAAAATAATTCAACCTCAAATAAACACTCTTCTGTCCTCAAACAGGCTATTGTCCACCACTAATAATTTCTACATAAATGATCATTAAGGGAATCTTAATTTTATTGATTTTCAGAGTAATAGGAATTCTTCTCATACCGCTCTACAAATAACTCTAATTACTGATATTGATATTGAAGTAGACAAGTATTTTGACTGAAAATTAATAACATTGTCAGCACCCATAATAATGTTGTTTCCCCCATTTTGCCATGGTATTTCTTCAAGCATGTACTCTTACAAATACTAAATGGTTATCCGTATCGAAGTCCAAAATCAACTAGCATATTTGGAGGAGGGGCAAGGGGACAGTTTGCCCCTCCTGACATATTCCAAACTACAAAAAAAGAAGAAAATGTCTTTCTACAACAGTTGGTTAACGGAATAGGGAATCATTTTAAGTCAAGAAATGCATGGCATGTTCTCTAAATAAATAAATTTGGGTGCCCCCTCTCTACCCCCTCCCCCCCCCCCCAATGCAAACCAAGGCCCTTAAAAAGTGAATTGCTTTATATTGACTACAGTAACTGGAGAGGTTTTGCCCCCATCTGAGACCAGGGACTGGATACACCACTGCTGAAATCTGACTTAAATATGAACTCCCTTACCAAATAAGCCAGGCATTCAGTGTTTCATAACTGACACACTTCTCCAAATGTTAATTATCATTCCTTCATTAAGATGGAAATTGTTAAGGGCTTACTTATTAGGGGTTCTTTGTTCTTCAAATTGGCAACACTCACAATTAATCATCATTGGTGCTACATACATAACAACTTTGAATCTGAATTCATATAAGAAAAGGGCATAAACAGGCTCTGGATAGAAAAAATAAACAATGATTAAAAAAAAAAAATTGTTGTCCATTCAAGGATTTCAATGCTCACTTTCCATTTTTAGAAGTGTCAGTTTCATGTCAATACAACCAATATTGACAATGGCATGGTTTGTTCCTCCTCCTGCTCATTTACCCTTTTTTAGCTCTGAATCCAAAGGTTTAGAACTTAACCCCAAATTGTGGGCAATAGTCCCACATGTACTTGAGCGTGTTGCCATG